TGACAAATATGAATTTTGTAAACACACTATGTTTACATAACTGATTATTTTATCTCAAACCAAATGTAAATAACCAAAACAGAATCACATTAGTACATGTTAGTGGCAAATGAGAGTCAGTGGAACATGACTGTTCTGGATGCTTCACATGAGGGGGCAGCACAGCCCTCTGACTCTGAGGATTCCCTCATAGTATGAAGCCTCTTCAGTGGTGGTTTATAGATTATTACTTACAGAGTTTATCTACTGGAGGAGGGAGGACGACAGCACCATCTGCAGTCCGACTTCCTCAGGACAATGTCCCAGGTTTGTTTTCTTCTATGTCCAAATTACAGCCTGAACAGTGTTCTCTGAAACATTCTGAAGTCACCTCTCGTTCTCTGTGTGTTCACTTTTTATGTTTTTGTTTCTGTGGTATTGAACACATGTTGCTGCATTGTCCACATTATCTTAGCAGCCTCAAAATAATATTTTTAAGTTTCTTAAAGGTGCTCAATGTAACAAAGTGCACAGTGTTTTCTCATGGAGATGCTGTTTCCTTGCAGTTTCATTGTGCATCTTTAAGTGACGTTTTAATTGAATCACATTAATGAGACTGCTGAGACCATCAGTGTTAGAACATGTGTCCAGGACTGGGACCCACACCAGTAAAATTACTTCATGCACCTTTGATTTGTTTTCTTCAGAATGAAGACATGGAACCTTCTCCAGAAGGAGAAGCAGACCCTGAGTCTGCTGAAATACTCTTCAACGAGAACATCATGAAGAAAAGCCTTAAACGTTTAGATAAAGACCTGAATCAAATGGTAGTAAAAACTGAAGAATACGATGTATATATGCTGCATTATATCTATAAAGTAAATACAATATATAGCATATTACTTAACGTATTACGAAACAACTTGATTCAAATGGGAGTAAAATCTGAACCAGTCAAACTCATAGTTAATGCAAGAAATAATAAAATAAACGCTCAACATGTACTATGGGATCCCCATCCGTTTGATCAGCATGATGCCTCAGACTCTTACATTGAGGGACACATTCTCAGTGTATCAGAATCTGGTCCATCAGATTTAATTGAGCCCTGTCATGAATTCAAATCATTTACAAACACGACAGAGAAAACGAAAATGACAAAGTTTGTGGATGAAGTTATCCGCTTTGGAGCTGCCTGTATGAACAAACAGACTAATGGCACAATACATTTTGGAATATTAAATGACCTACATGGAGAAATTTGCGGTGTTCCAGTTGAAATCAACGAGAGAGAAATATATGATAAAGAACTAAAGACTGGCATTGAAAAGAGGTTTGCGAATCATGAAACAGCAATGAAATGCTTCAAATCTCCTCGATTTGTGGAAGTTCTCGATGAAAATTTTACCTTCACTGGAAAGTTTGTGATTGAGGTAGATATAATTCCTGATCATATAATTTGCAAAGACATACTTTTTTACACTTTCTCACCCAATGCTGAAACTAAAGATGCTGAAATAAAAAAAAGACAGTTCTTTGTTAGAGATGGAAGCAGCTGCAGAGACCTTCTGGCCCCAAACCCATCTGACAAAAATATAAAGACCACCAGTGGTTTGTTGATAATGTGAATTTTTTATCAGAACTCAGAAAACAATCAGAAGAGAAGCACCTGATAAACAGCTACAAACTGCAAGAAAATGTACAATACTATGAATATATGCATATTTTAATGCATATGTTTACATATACTATAAATATGGCATTGCATAGTAGTAGTCAAGAAATACTGTGCGATCCCCATCCGTTTGGTCTGTATGCTGCCCTTTTTCCTTATGTTGAGGGACACATTCTCAGTGTAGGAGAATCTGATCCATCAGACTTAACTGAGCCCTGTCATGAATTTAGAGCATTTACAAACACGACAAACATGAAACTGAATGTAAAAACTAAACTGTTTGTGGATGAAGTTATCCCGTTTCTAGCTGCCTGTCTGAACAGTCACACCAATGGCACAATATATTTTGGAATAGACAACTATGGACGAATTTGTGGGGTTCCAGTTCACAGCAACAAGAGAGAGAAATACGAAGAAATTATTTTGAAGACTATTGAAAACTGTTTTGCTTTTAAGCACAAACACACAGTAAAATTATGTGTCAGACCTCCTCGATTTGTGGAAGTTCTCAACCAGAATTTGACCTCATCTGGAAAGTTTGTGATTGAGGTAGATGTAGTTCCACTTCATGTAATTTGCAAAGACAAACTTTTTTACACTTATTTGCCCAAGATTGGAGATCCTAATGAAAAAAAGCATTTCTTTGTTAGAGACAGAAGCACCACCAGAGACCATCTGGCTTCAAACACATCTGACAAAAATAATATAGACCACCAGTTGTCTTAACTATCTGTATTTTATGGTCACAAAACCAAGAACTGGGGGCACAATCTGGACTGGGTCATCACAGGCAACAAAAATAATCCTACAGCTCAGATTTTACAATTGACCATCTTTCCAACCCGGATTGTAAACAATTTCAGTTAACTCCCTCTGACTCGTTGCGAGCAGTATGCAGATCAAATCATGGGGATGATCAAAGTTTTCTCTTCTCTTTTAGATCCAACTCCAATTTCATTTTTAAAATCATTTTATAGAAACAAGCTTTTATACATGATGAATTGCTCTCTTCAGATGGGGGTCTGTCCTGCTGCCTTTAAAGCAAATAGGTGTGTTAGTTGCAGAGTAGTTTCATTGTAGTTAGCTTCTCCCTTCAGGCAGATATAAGGCAGTGTCCACCAGCAGGTGAGGGTAGGAACGTAGATTGAGTGGTTCGATCACTGCAGACGCTGCACTGATCCCCCTGTCAATCTCACGCTCCATCCTCCCCTCATTCATGAACAAGACCCCGAGATACTTGAACTCCTCCAATTGAGGCAGGGACTCTCCACCCAGAGAGGGCAAGCCACCTTTTTCCAGTCAAGAATCAAGGCATCAGACTTGGAGGAGCTGATCTTCATCCCAGCTGCTTCACACTCGGCTGCAAACCACCCCAGTTCACACTGCAGGTCCTGGCTTGATGAAGAAGTGTGCCGGAGAAGAAGCCGGAGCAGTCGTTGTCACTGCCGGGGCCAGAGCAGTCACCACTTCCGCGACCGTCGCACTCGATGCTGGGACTGGAGAAGTCACTGTCACTGTCGCTGCCGGAGCAGTCGCCACTTCTGGGACCGTGGCATTCGCAGTCGATGCCGAGGCAGGAGAAGTTGCGGCCCCTGCTGGAACAGTCGCCATTTCAGGGACCGTGGCAGTTGGTGCCAGGGCCGGAGAGGTCACTGTCACTGCCGCTGCTGGAGCAGTCGCCATTTCTGGGACCGTGGCAGTCGGTGCCAGGGCCGGAGAAGTCACTGTCACTGCCGCTGCCGGAGCAGTCGTCACTTCAGGGACCGTGGCGGTCGCAGTCGATGCCAGGGCAGGAGAAGTTGCTGCCTCTTCCGGAACAGTCGCCACTTCAGGGACCGTGGCAGTTGGCGCCAGGGCCGGAGAGGTCACTGTCACTGCCGCTGCTGGAGCAGTTGCCACTTCAGGGACCGTGGCAGTCTCAGTCGATGCCGTTGCCGGAGCGGTCGCCACAAGGGGCTGTCACTGCAGGGGCCAGGGCGACGGCAGTCACTGCTGGGGCCGGAGCAATCGCTGCCGGGGCAGTGACAGTCGCTGCTGAGGCCGAAGCAGTCACTGGCGCTGCCGGGGCCTGGCCAGGGCCGGAGCAGTCGCTGCCGCTGCCAGGACAGTCGCAGTCAATCCCAGGGTCTGCCAAGATCGGGGCCATGCTTCATAGGAAATCGCAAGGGGCTGTCGCTGCAAGGGCCAGGGCGATGGCAGTCGCTGCTGGGGCCAGAGCAGTTGCTGTCGGGGCAGTCACAGTCGCTGAAATATTTTGGGGGGAATAAGAGCAATACACTACTGTATAATTAGGCTGCAATTTTAAATATAACATTTTAATAATATTTTAATCTTAAATATAATTTATTTTTATAAATTTGAAATGACTAAATATATTAAATAAATGTAATATTTTATTTTATATCGATTTTTTTTTTAATGAATTAAATGTCTTTTAATTGCTTAATAATATATACTTTAAATTAGTGTCCCTTTAATTTGGTTAGACTGTAAGACATTTTACAGCAATTACAATGAATTGGAATGTATTTAAACAACCAATTGCCAATTACATTAAATTATTCAATTACATTTTTAACACTTTCAGAACCTAAATTAAATCACTATATATTATATTTATATTTTATTTTATTTATATTTTATTTATATTATATTTTAAATGTATTTATTAATTTACTGTTTTTACTTAAATTTTGACATTTCATAAATAAATGAGCCAATTGCATTTACAAACTAACTAAGGCTGCTTGTGCTACTTAACTACTTACTAGTACTTAACAGAATATTCACTTTACTTAAGTAAAACAGAGATTATTTTGACACTATTGTCTATTGTCATTATTGTGTTCTTAGGGTCTTAACAGAGTTTTAAGTAGTTTAACTCTACTGAAAACTGATTTTACAGGTAGATTTCTTCACCATTAGAGTCTGTGTTTCCTTTTGCTTCCTGGGTTTGGTTTGTGTGCCTGCGCACTGGGGCCTAATGAAATGAGAGCAGCAAACAGCACCGGCTCACCTGTATTTTTGGTGCCCTCTACTGACCAGAGTAGGAATGAGATAAGGGGGGATGGAGAGGAGAGGTGAATGGGCTGAGAGTGGAAGTGAAGACTAGGAGCAGAGGGGTTGGGCTTTTTGATTTGACAGTACATACGGTGAGAGTCAGCTGAAGCTGGGAGTGAATTGTGAGTTTTATCTCTTATATAAATACACTTTCAGAGCACATTTTTGTATAGTTTTGCTTGAACTCACTACGATTGTAGTCTTTGGTGACCAATTGCTCGGCAGGACATGTCTTTAGTCGAATACAGCCCTAGTGACTTCTGTACAGACTCACACATATACAATAAAGGTTTTGATGAGTTTATTAAAAATGATAAAAAACAGACTGTAGCAGATGAACCAATCAGAGTTCTACAATGAGAAGCAGCTTTTGCATTTCAAACTACAGCACAGCACACTCCTCCGTGGGATCAGAAGAGATTCTGGGGCCAAGGAAAGACAAAAATGTAGATACAAGTCAGAGTAAGACATGCTGAAAAATCCTCTTCCTTTAGGATAGAATTAGACCAGTATTGGCTTGTATTGCTCAGTAGTACCCAAAGCCCAAAGGTTGTGTCGTTTAAATATCTTTTGTTCCACAGACAACTTAAAAAAACATGTGCACATGAAGAGAAAACAGAATCAGCGATGCAGAGATCACCAGCGTGGACGCACTGTGGAACTTTTCTAATGGAGCATCCACCAAAAGCTTGTCATTTTTTACTCAGAAGATCGAAAAGCAGGTGACATCACTCGCAGTAAGATACATGTTTTTCTGGGTATTTTTGACCAATAAAACATCTATGATTTGATAACAAAAATAGAAAAATGGAAATGTTTCAACTCATAATGGTGTGGACTAAATGGCACCTCCGTGGATACAATTAAGCAGTGGGTCATTAGCTGAAAAGTTCCACAGCGCGTCTTTAAATTTGCACTCGTTTTAAATCCAAATTATACAAATATTATAACCATTTTGTTTTGTAGCCGTTTTGTTCTCGATCTAGGCTTCGTTTCACATTAAAGGTTCACTACGCAACGTGTAAACAAACTAATGCCGTACTCTGGAGTAGATGGTGTTTGCCTTACCAGAAAAGTTACATAGTGCATCTTTAAGCCTTATGATTTAATTTGAATCAAAATTATACAGATATATACCATATTTCCTGCACTATAGGGCGCACTTAAAAGCCTTTAATTTCATAAAAAAAAGACTGCTCGCCTTATAATCCAGAACGCTTTATATATGAATTTATTGTGGTGTCTTAGTACGACTTTAGTAAACTACAAAGCCGCACCACTTGCAGCATTACGGCTCCCATAGTCAGGAGCATCGTGGAGTAATACATACTATGATTCCTTTTAATATCAAAATGCATCTGTCAGAGACACACTTACAACGCCGCCTTTAAACTCAAGGCTGTTATAAAGTGAAAGTGCGAGCTGCGTGGGAGCAGTGGATGAGAGAAGGAGAACACACATTCACAAAGACAGAGAGACAGCGCCGAGCGAATTACACCACGATCTGCCAATGGATCGTGGACGCCTGGACTAAGGATCAGTATCAACTGTGGTCCGAGCTTTCACCAAGACCCGAATCATCACTGAACTGCCAGGGAACAGTAACCACACTGACTTGGATAATGATGAGAGGGATGCAGGCGCGCTGGACGCCATAATCGCCCAACTGTTTGAACAATTAAGAGTTATTGTGAATACATTAACAATTCAGCGTCTCAGACAGTATTTTTTTTTTTTTACACCTTACAATTAAAAATGTTGAGAATTATTGTAAATGCATTAAATAAAGTTTGACTGACTTATTTAACTGTTGTGTTTCGTTTAATGTGCCTTATAGTCCGGTGCAGTTTATGTGTTATATTATTTGGGGCGAATCCTGCTCTTCACATAAAAAACATCATTGGTTGAGCGATCAGATCCACTGACCCACAGGTTGGCTGATGTAATTCCAGCTCCCACAGATGAATGCTGTTGTTGTGTGCTTGGGCAAGACACTTAACCCACCTCGTGTCTGCGTACACTGCTGTCTGAATGTGTGGGTGAAAGGGTGAGTGGTTCCTTGTTGTAAAGCGCTTTGAAGTGACTTGAAGGTGGAAAAGCGCTATAGAAATATATGACCAAATATGTGAAAAAAGTTCAAAAAAAGACCATTCAATGACAGTGCGCTTTATAATCCAGAGCGCCCTATAGTGCGGAAAATACGGTAGGTGTTTTATAAAGGTTAAACTCAAACTAGTGGAATGAGATTAGCCACAGAATTGATTTAAAACTCTTCGAGGGCATGCAAATTCTCCAAAAAGTCTATGGGAGGAAAAAAACAAAAAAACTTCCTTCTGAAACCATGTGGCGGCGCTGTAGAGCTCAGTCAGTCAGGTCACTTCCATTGGATAACATACAAAGCAGAGTAGAGACTAAATATACTAAACTACGAGTGAATTCTGGGCTAGTTTAAGGTTAAAAACGCAATTTCAAGTTGAGAAATCTTCCTTAAAACAGTCCGGTTGCTTCTTGATGAAATTAAAATTAAAGCATCAAAACACATAAATACAATGTTTATATTATAATAAATGAATCCCCCACTTTTTTGGGTTAGAACATTATCTAATTTAAAGTGCAACTGTACAATTAAAAATGAGAATACTGTGATCGGAAAGCGTATACTGAAAGACGATTCACACATGGGAAAAAAAAAAAAGCCAGTCCGTTCAAGCTGTTCAATCTTCATAATTGCAATAAATGTTTTTAATAGTTTTCTTTGCTCATAAAGGGCACATATTGTTCAGTTCGAGTCCTTGTGGTGCCTTCGTCTGCGCCCCGTTTCCAGTGGAGGGGTCAGAGGAGGAGGAGGAGGTCGCAAAGACGCTTCAGGCCGTTAGTTTCAATCGTCCTGCGAAGAAAAAGAAAATACGCATCAGTTATGTGCAGTTTAAACCATAGAAGTGTTGGAACTGTTGTCATCTGTGAATTCATTTGTGTTTTAACAGTGATTTGACGAAAAATATTAAGCGAAATCCACTTTTTAAATCACGTTATAGTTGTTTCCCAGTCTCATTTACCCTCACAAAGTTGTATTTATGCATGTTTGAGTACCGTATTTTCTGGACTATTAAGCGCACTTGAATATAATTCGAAGGGGTCCACGTCTTCAAGAATGTTTTCAAGTTCGGGCCGTCTGCTTTTATCGTCTCTGAAAGCTTTTGTCGTCTTTTTGCATAGAGTCAGTTCTTCACACTGCCGTTGCCAAAGTTTCACCATCGACTCACTGATGCCGAGCTCAGGGGCAGCAGCTCTGTTTCCTTCTTCCACAGCCACATCAATCGCCGTTAACTTAAAAGAGCATCATCGTCACGTGTTTTCCATGAAGAGGGTGCGTGTATGAAGCGCAAAATAACTGTTCAAAACACAATCAGATGAGAATCTTCCTCGGCGCATCACCCCCGTCTCGCCCCAGGCTCCACGGTAGAGCCCTGCAGACTCGACGAAAAACAGTGCGGCAGGGACACATTCTGAAAGCTCACTGCGGGCGCGGGCGGGAGCAACTAAATATGAGCGTAAAAATAAAATATACAAATGATGAATGTAAGCCTATCATGCATAATTTGTGCTGGATATTTTATTTGGCATTAATAAAAACATTTTAAGCAGCAGAGCGTCCTCCCCATACTGTACGCAGCGTTGACAGTCCCCCCCTCCCGTCCTATACGCTGTGCAGACCGCCCCCCATCCCGTACGTCACGCGGGCTGTGCCACTAAATCGCCAGGACTAAACCAGGACTAAAACAGGACTAAAACAGGACTAAAACAGGACTAAAACAGGTAAAAAACCAGGACTAAAACAGGACTGAAACAGGATTTTCATCCCATATACAGCCCAATTCTTTTCCACTTCTCCGTGTTTGAGAGCGCTTAAGAAAACAATGGATTTGCGGGCGGGAGCAGGATAAATTATCGCAGATGCGGGCGGGAGCAGGACTGAAAATTAGTTCCTTGCAGGTGTAGGCGGGAGTAGGACTTAAAATTCTGTCCCACACAGACCTCTACTCTACGCCACATGTCTCCTGCAGAAAGAGCCTCTGTCCTGTCTGTATCGTGTCAGTGTCTTATCAGATTTCAGCAGATTTCAGACTTTCTCGGGGGCGAGGATAGTTCTATCAACCAGGTATGAGTAGATGTTCGGCTACTGAAGTTTGAGACGTTTCTTCTCGTCATTTACGGGTAAGACGTATCCCCCTCACTAATGTTCAATGCGCTGACAATATCGCGAGCAAGTGTAGCACAAACAGCGGCGTTTTCTGCACTCAGGCTGCTCGTATCCACAGTGTTACCAAACCATAGACCGTATATATGAATGGACAATGTGCCAAACAAAGAATCCATCCATATGTTCGCCGCAGGGTTCAAAGTGTGAGAAAAAGTAGCGGCTTATAGTCCAGAATTTACGGTAATATTTATTCTCCTGTATTCGAAATGTCATTGCTTCAGTCTAAAATGTGTATGCTTTTCTCCAAGGTGATGTTATTGTTTTGCCTGAAATGTTCCACAGTATGGCATTAAACCTTTCTATCTTCATGGAGACCAAACTAGACAAAGTTACAGGTCAGATCTGTGGAGAGGCGACCACGTTCACAGTCAGAATGCCTGTTTTTCCAAGTATTATTGAGGTATAAAACCACCTGTACTTGACTAAAAGTAGAGCTGTTTAATGTCATACTGCGGAACATTTCAGGTAAAGCAATGACATCTCCGTAGAAACAAGCAACAACCAAAAAAGTTACACAGTGCGTCTTTAAAAGTAAAATAATTTAGTGTCCATTTTGGGAGAATTGAGTGAAATAAAAGGTATCACTTGACAACAGTTCCATACATTTCCATTTTAGAGGAGTTTTAGTTTTAGTGAACACAACGTTAGATTTCCCACAATCCTTTGCTCGTCAGCACAGGGCCAGCAGACACAGAGCAGCGGGGAAAAAAAAAAAAAAGGAAGAAGAGTGAACGTGAGTCACAGAGTTCATTCATTCAGCATTCACTCAAAGTCTGTTCAGATAAAAGCAGTTTGGTGAGTGGTTCGCCTCTGCTGCTCTGATGTTTCCTACACAAATCTACACTTGGACTAGTTCTGCTGTCATTAAAAAAACTAAAATAATAAAAATAAAAAAGAAGTTTGCCATGTCATTTACGAATCTAACTTTAATTACACACAGCTTTAAAGATACGTTATGTAACTTTTCTGGTGTCTGGAATGCTTCACAGTATGGCATTAAACCTTTATATTCATAGAGACCAAACTAGACCAAGTTACAGGTCAGATCTGTGGAGAGTCAGAATGTGTGTTTTTCTGGGTATTTTTGAGCTATAAAACCACCTGTAAATGAATAAATGTATCAACTGCAGATGGTTTTATTGCGCAAAAATATAAAAAAAACCCAACAAATTCTTATTGTGAGTGGAGTCGCCTTTCCACAGATCTGACCTGTAATTTGTCATCCAGGTCTCCATGGTAATTCATAAGTTTGTGGCCGTACTGTGGAACATTCTCGGCACATCTCCGTGGAGAAAAGTGGGTGATGGACCCTCCAGCAGAGAACTTGCATCTTTTTTTTTTGAGAAAGTGCATCTTTAAATATAATAATTATTTTTAAAATTATTTTTTACCTAGACAAATTACATTATGTTTTGAGTAGTATCTTTTTAGTCATTGTTTTGGTCTTACTTATGTTTAAAATAGTTTTGTTTAAACCTGGCCAAGTGGTCCTCAGTTTAGTCCCCTGGCCTAGTCTAGTCTAGCCCAGTCTGGTCCACCGGCCCAGTCTAGCCCAGTCTGGTCCACCGGCCCAGTCTAGCCCAGTCTGGTCCACCGGCCCAGTCTAGCCCAGTCTGGTCCACCGGCCTAGTCCAGTCCTCCAGTCTCGTCTAGTCTAGTCTAGTCTGGTCCCCAAGCCAAGTGGTCTCCGGTCTGGTCCCCTGGTCCAGCCCTGGTTTAGATCCTGGATTAGATCCTAGTTAAGCCCTGGTTTAGACCCTGGTTCAGTCCTGACTCCACCTCAGCTACAGGAAACAGGAGAGACGACCCACTGCCCAAACCTTAAAACACTGAGCGGTTCACAGTCGCGCCTGGGGCCTGTGGCGGGCCCTTCACTTTCTCTGTTAGAGTCACAGTGTTTTTGAGGAGGAGGAGGGGGAGGAGGAGGGGGCGGGGTTAATGTCGGGGTCCACACTGACATCACGTGGGGGCCATGCCATGCCGAGCACGTCCATGCCAAGCTTTCCACCAATCGGCTTCTCTGAGCCCACCTACCTGCCCACCGTCCACCAATGGGCTGGCTCGGTCTACCTGCCTGTCTGAGCACCGACCAATCAGACCACAGAATGGGGAAGAAGAGGAACAGATGGGAAACACACCTGGATTTGGAATAATACAAAACTTTGTGTCTGAAATCACTTCACAAAAGAATTTTATGTGTTTTGTAGAATATAAATTTAAAAAATTTAAACAAATATAATATCAGACGTTAAAAGTTTAAGTCTATATCCAGCTTATTTAAAGTGCATATGACAGGTTTTCATGTTTTTTTTAATTATTATTTGGTTCAGTTTGGTGGGTTAATACCTGTAGAGAATATTTATCACAATTTTACATCAGTTAAGTCTCAGTTTGTGGGGAAAAAAACTTGAAGAAAATACAGAAAAAATACAGTAAGTAGCGCTGAGTTTTAAAACTGAGGGTCTGTTTACATGAGAACGCGTGCAGGTAAAAACGACAAAATATTTTCTTGGCAGTGCCTTTCGTTTAGACCAGGGGTGTCAAACTCATTTTGGTCTGCGGGCCGTATCCAATCTACTTTGATCCCAAAGGGGCCCGGAAAAAAAAAAAAAAAAGGATATATACCCCAAAAATAGCAATAAGTTCAAATATTTGTGCAGAGAAACCCAAATCTATTACAGAAATCTTTTTTAATTGATGAACTCTTTCTTTTACAAAATATTATAATATTATGAACAACCTGAAACTTTAAGAAAAATGCAATTTCAACACAATGTTTTAACATTAACTTGTATGCAAATAGGAATAAGTCAGTTTTTCTTGGAAAACCCTTCACTCGGCTCCACTTTTCTCATTTTTGACATTTTTCTGATGAGGGTGTCACGGTCAACAGTCAAAACGATCGTCCTTTAAGAGCGTTTGAAAAGAGACAAGTCTTCATTTGTGCTGCTCTGGTGGGAGGGGCCACGTACAGAGATGCTGGAGACACTGCTATGCTAAGAGAAGCAGAAAATTGCCAATATTTTAATAGGAAATATAACTAAAATATTTTAGTATAAAATCAGGCGAGGGCCAGATTAAAGATCTTGGAGGGCCAGATCTGGACCCTGGGCCGTATGTTTGACACCCCTGGTTTAGATGGTGACAGCGTTTTTAAGGTTGAAAAACGTAAGAATCTGGAAAAGTTGAATGCACCCCATCGTTTCCGTCTATACTGTGCAAGCTGCAAAACTCTGGTCAGATCTGCTCACGTTGCATTTACGTCACATATCACATCTGAGTACTGATCTGATCTGTCACCGTGTGGATGAAAACGCTGATATGCTGATGTAGGTCTACGTGCCGCAAAATATTTCACCGCCACGCTAGGAGGCTAGAATATATGTTCATTCATATATACAGTCTGTGTGTACGACCTGCAGACGTATAATCTCTGAACCATCTCCAACGCGACAGAAGCACAGAACAGACTCACCATCAGCAGAACACCCCTCTGTCACAGAAAGAACACTCATATTCCACTGAGTTGTGTCCTTTAGTCTGACAGAAGCTGAACCGCATCAGCGCACAATAGCGAGCATTTTGCAGTTTATGCAAATTAGCCATGTGGTTTTAAGTTCCTTTCTGTAAAACGTAAACAAATATGCTCAAAGCTGTGTGGATAGGGAAGGGTGGCGGACACAGAGATGACGCAAATCCGATACGGTGATATGGTGATTCATTTCAGTGTAAACATAGCCATAGTAGTCCAAATAAAACTATTGCGCAATTTAGACACGTTTTGGTATTTGATAACATTACGGTTGCTAGGTAACAATTAGAATTACATGTCTGTATTTCATATCAACAGTGAAGTAAAATTATAATTTAAAAAACAAATAAAAAATAAAAGGTGCATTTTATCATTTTTTTGTTGTAGTGGGTCCGTTATCTGCTTGTTTCTATGGATATGTCATTGTGCTGCCTGGAATGTTCCACAGTATGACATTAAACCGCTCTAATTACAGCATGTTTATTCAATTACAGGTGGTTTTGTGGCTCAAAAACACCTAGAAAAACAGGCATTCTGACCTGTAACTTGGTCTGGTTTGGTTTCCATGAAGATAGAAAGGTTTAATGCCATACAGTGAAACATTCCAGACAAAACAATAACATCTCGAAAAACATTTGACGGCCCTCCACCAGAAAAGCTACACAATTCACCTGTTTTTTGATCAAATAAATAGTTTAATCTGTCATATGTACTTTAAAATAATCCTAATCCCTTCACCTGTCAGTACACTAAAAACTTAATTAGTGTTAGTAAGTAAAGTAAAGTAAAATCATATAAATCAAACAAAGCCAGTGAGTGATTTCAGACACATCTACGCTCGCCTACGTTTCCCACAATGCCCTGGTGTGTGGGCGTTACCTGCAGACAGCTGGGACTGGGACCTCCTGCGAGATCCGGTGGGGGTCCTGGACGCCGCGGAGAGGGTGGAGAGGGTGGAGCCTGCGCTGCTGGCTCTGGAGATGGGCAGAGGGCCGGGGGTGGAGGGCGGAGAGTCCAGCTGAAAGAAACGCAGAGAGATTAGAGTGTAAGTTACTCTATAAAATATAATGTATAATATGTGTGTTTTATGATTAATTCGGTGCCATTTAAAGTGTTTTTGAGGAGGAAACAATATTATAACCAGGGGTGTAGTGGACGTAATAAGTAGGGGTACTATGTCCACCCACTTTTCCCAACGTGAGATATAAAAAAAATAACAAATATAAAATAGCTACAAATTATAAATGTCAAATCAGAGCTTTTGGCAATGGTGAAAACAACCTGCACAGACTGATATCTGCAGTACTGTCCTATAGTGACCTGAGACATGAGGGACTAGGGCCGAGCCAGGGCCGAGCCAGGGCCGAGCCAGGGCCGAGCCAGGGCCGAGCCAGGGCCGAGCCAGGGCCGAGCCAGGGCCGAGCCAGGGCCAGGACTAAAACAGGACTAAAACAGGACTAAAACAGGGCCAAAACAGGGCCAAAACAGGGCCAAAACAGGGCCAAAACAGGAACAATACAGGACTAAAACAGAACTAAAACAGGACCAATACAGGCGTAGTACAAGACTAATTCATGACTAAAACAGGACTAAAACAGGACTAAAACATGGACTAATACAGGACTAACACAGGACTAATACAGGACTAAAGCAAGACTGAACCAGGACTGAACCAGGACTGAACAGTCAGGTGGCTGCGGGCGAAAGGACCAACCAGAGCTCCACACCCCACGGTACTAGTTTAGTGCCATATAGAATTTTGAACTTGAGCTTTTATGTGCGAGGTCATGCAAACATCGTTTTGTATGTTAAACTAAATATTTAAAGAATCCAAAAAGTTATTCAATACAATGCATCTCTCTTGTTAAGGGTAATGCTAATTGTGTGTTACCCCCGTCTAATTAAACAACTAAAACTAAAACCAGTTCTTCACTAGAATGTGAAACCCGTGTCCCGCTCAGTAGTATGGTCCGTTACCTCTACACTTTCGTGGGTGGGCGAGGACGAAGTGGAGGAGTTCTCGTGTTTCCGTGAAGACGAGGACGAGGAGCTGAGTTCCACCGTCCGAACTCTCTGAGCAAACTTCAGTGAACAGACAGACTCACTCATGTTCGACGACAAAGGGGAAACCTGAAACATTAAATAAATACAAAGGATTTTAAACTACAAAAAAGATAAAAGATGACAGTTGTTTTGCAGCACTTTACATGATTGTCTTGTGAATATGTACTAACCATTTAAATAAAACTGACTAGACTATAATGCAGATCAGCTTGCTGCAGTAAGAGAGTTTGGCCAGAAGGGGGCAGCAGTCACCTTTTAAACTTGCCACATGTAGACTGGACTGTTTACTACTCATTCCTTTACTACTCAGTTTTCTTATGAATATGTAGGTATTATTTGTAAGTTATCAAAAAACCCTCTTAACCTTAATCAGATTTTACTGCATAACACTCACACACTTTCCTCTATTTGGCATTTAATTGTGTAATAGCTCAAACATGCAAACAAAAGGATATATATCGGCTTGTCACAAAAAATACAAACGATATAATGCAGAAGAAAATATAGATGACACAATAACACTAAAGCAGGATTCCCTCTATGTACATTAACTGAAATAAAGGTCTTATATTACAGAAAAATAACTCAAAAAATCCTCACTTATAAAAAGAAAAAGCACCCTCGATAAATATTGACCTAAAAAAATTATTGTTCTGTCCACTGTCTATTGAACGATGTGGTTGATCAAGTAATCAGGGATCCTGCCCTTTTTCACTGACAAAAATTTGGAAACTTTTCCATGACTTTTTCATGACTTAAACTGAATTTTCCACCCTTCATGTGTAGAATTGATCAGACTTTTAAGGCTAAATATGAAATGTTGGTAACACTTTATTTTAGGATATACTTATTAACATCTAACTACCTGCTAATTAGCATAGTTATAGGTGATCAATTTGTCATTAGTATTTATTAGTATTTATTCAGCTCTAATGTCTAATTCCCCATAAGATTATTCTGCTCTTAAGTTAGACATTTACACTTTCCTATTAATACACTCATTATTACTGCTTATTATTATGATATTAAGCCTTTTTGTCCATGAATTATGATTCTTACAAGCTTTTGGTAATAAGCGTGTTGTTAAGGACTAGTTGCACAACAAATGTAGTTTTTACTTATTTGGACTTAATAAATTTCGCTTACTTAATTTATGGCTAGTTGGACTCTATTAACACCTAATAGAAAGTGTTTTATTACATATGAGTAAGCTAAATTTGTTAAGTGCAAATAAGGATAATTTAAGTTTGTTTTTTTTTTCCCCAAAGAGGAGGACTCAATTATACATCGAGCAATGTGTTTAATGCAGCTTTGTGCACATTTGTTTACGTTTTACAGAAATGAAACTTAAAACCACATGGCTAATTTGCATAAACTATCAGCGCTGAAAAACCAAATTTTGACAGATTTTTGAAGGCCATGTGCCACATAAAATCGGTTTGGGTTCAGTAAGCACACCCAGAATTAACACATAAGGCGCACTGTCGTTTTTTGAGAAAATTAAAGGATTTCAAGTGCGTCTTATAGTCCGAAAAATACGGTACATCTAGTTTTGTCCCTGATATTGTCTGCACTGACCTGGACCATCATGAGCGTCTTGCTGTCCCCGCTCAGAGAGTCCTGCAGCAGATACGTGAGGCGAGAGTTCCTGAAGGGGACGTGGGCGTGTTTGCTCCGCAGGGCGTTGATGACGTCGCCGAGCGCCGACAGAGACTTGTTGATGCACTGAGCCTCTCGCAGACGGCTGCCCTCTGCGCCCGATTTACTGATGCGCTCCGAGCCCGCCAAGTCCACCAGGTTCAGCTTACCTACGAGAGACAGAGATACAATTGTGACTTCAGGGTCCACGAGACAATTTAAAATCTCATTGACACCAAACTCCATAAATTAGAATGTTAAAGTGTAAATTTATATTACACAAAATGGATTCTCGTGAGCTTTAAGTCATATTATAATGTTGTTATCTCATCAAAAACAGACCTGGGGTTGTGTTTTATTCACACAAGTTTGAGCAACTTTTTATTATTAGTCTGTCTATTTATGATGATTTAGTTTTTAATTCCTTTTTAATTTTGTGAAACTTTATAAACCTTTAACTTTTTTGAGCGTACCTAATTTCAAGTTCAACATGTTTTATTTATTTTTACTGGAAATACATAGTTAACCCCTTAATTTATTAGAAATTTACTTCAAGAACCTCTACAGGGTTCAAAGTACATTTACTTTTGAGCTCCGTGTGTGAATATTTTACAGCAATACTGTCATCATTTTTACCTATAGACCTGGAATACAGTTGAAAATGTTCATTCTAATTTATTTATTTATTCAGTACAGTAGTGTGGAGTGGCTCTCAAACTGTCAATTTAGTCACATGATAATAAGCAAATAATTACATGTCTGCACCTTGTATTTAGATTTTTTTCAATTAAAAAAATTATATTTATATGGAGTATTTATATTTATATTGAAATCGTTATATGACGTATTTACATTTGCCACTGAATTTTCGTCACCTATGCCTACATATACTACTGATTATAATTCCCTTTATTCTGTTTTCTGCTTTAGTTTTGACTGGTAAATGGCTGACTGCTCATTTCCTTTTCACCTCGACCTAAAAAATGCTCACCTGGATAGACAAAAGAGCTGGCAAGTTCACCTATTACTCATATTATAATTTCAATTTTTTATGTATTTATTTTATAGGCCTATTTTTTTTTACTTTTATTAAGTGCTGCACACAATTATTAATACAATTGTTATTAATATTATTATTGTTAATATCATCAGGCCTAACTACAATTTGTCATTTTTCACTCTTCTTTGCCAGGGTCAATCACCAGATGTTTCTTACCTTTGATGTTATTGTTATTAGAAAATAAATAAATGGAATCTCTGTGGTATTTCAAATTAAAACAAAGTGTAAAATACTTACTATTTTTGCAAACTACTAGTACGCATAAACAAATATGTGCCAGAAAAAAGTTTGATGACCCCTGATTTATAGCACGTGTACTCCTTTTTAGTCCTGGTTTAGCCCTCAGTTAGACCTAGAATAGTTTAATACTTTTTTAGATCTGGTTTAGATCTGGTGAAACTTGGTTAGAAAAGTTTGAGAACAATTGCAATAGTGCGTCAGTAATATTAAGTAAAAGTAAAAATAAATAAATAATTTGATATAAGTGATAGTTTTCGTGTACCTTGCGTGTGAGTGGCAGTGGTGGAGTTGTACCCAGACACAGTGATGATGAGGAGAGCGTGAGAACGAGAGCTGTGTTCATTCAGGTTGGTGCAGGCCGTGGCTCTGTTCATGTGGCCCAACTCGAATACCTGCAAGAAAACATCACAATTTACACAAAAATACAAAAATAAGCCCCTCTCCTAACAAGAACATATGAGGGAAACCAAACAGATGAGTAGACACCCTAGAAAAATACATTTAATCTAGGTATATCAATCAAACTAACCTACCAATTTAACAGAAAAGATATTATTTCAATTCAAAGTTGTTATTTCTATCCAAATGCCTGATGCACTGCTCCTTAGTGGACAGAGTGCGCCCTCTGCTGGCATGTGACTGTACTGTGCCCTCAGTCAGATCTCAAAAAATGAATTATAATTTGTTTGCAGAAGACATTATGCAATTAAATAACTGCAGCCCTCAACTATTCAGTATAGTTGGGCTATAACACTAATCACAACTGCAATTTGATGATGGCAAACTATTTAATTATTGTTTGATTAAAGAAGTGAATGTCTATAAAGAAGTGTCTGACCCTGTTAATATCCTCGGGACTCCCCACGGAGAACTTTGTGAGTCCGGGGACGTAGAGCTGCCCACTACCATCAGGCTGCATCTTTATGTCCAACTTCTCTGTGGGATTGTCCCCCAGTAAATCCCTGAAGACAAAAAAACACATTTAATATCAGAGAAAAATAATAAATACAGTTAGAACTAAATGGGCAGTATGTAACTTTTCACCTTCACCTGCTTGTTTCTATGAATAATGTCATACTGTTGAACAGTCCAGGCAGAGTATTGACGTGTATTGACATTTATTCAATTACATTTGGTTTTATAGCTCAAAAATATCTAGAAAAACAGGCATTCTGACTGTGAGCGAGGTCGCCTCTCCACAGATCTGACCTGTAATTTGGTCTGGTTTGGTCTCCATAAAAATAGGAAGGTTTAATGCCATACTGTGAAACATTCCAGACCAAGCAATAACATCTCCATGGAGAAAAACATTTAACGGACCCTCCCCCAGAAATCGCTTAACTTTTAAGTGGCACCCATAATGTTTTAGGTCAGCTTTCTTTCGCCATAGTGTTGTCACAATATTAACATTTAAAACTCAATTTTGATACTAATGAATAGACTCAAAACTCGATACCAATTCAGATGTCACACTGACAATAAAAACACTTTATTTAGACAATAGAAAGTGGTTTTCAACATTAAAATGGTAGTACTTTTTTTTTATATTACCATGTTTCCATTGTGGTTCATGTCAGTGTAACATGTATTGTGTATAAAGTGTTACTTTTTAGTCAATATGAATCTATTATTGCTGCAAAAATATTTTCTGAAATTGTACTTCAATTCAATTAAGAAAATACCGTAGTCCATACAACTCATGCTTATGTAACAGTCCTGTCAATCATTACTGTATATTATCTTTGCACTGTTTTCCTTACAACCTTATTCTTTTATTACTTTATTTCTATATTTTATTTTTACTTGTGCATATACATTTATATAATTATGCTTTATTGACACCCGTCTCTTGCCATTTTTGCTTCATATTTAGAATTTATTATTGCCATTTATCCTTTTTGTTTGTTATCATAATATATTGTGATGTGTGAGCTGCTGGTTTTAGTCTTGGTTTAGATCTGGATTTAGTCCTGATTTTAGTCCTGGTTTAAGTCCTATTTAGATCTCGTTTAGATCAGATTTTAAGTCCTGATTTTAAGTCCTGATTTTAAGTCCTGATTTTAAGTCCTGATTTTAAGTCCTGATTTAGACCTGGTTTAGTCATGGTTCAGATTTGGATTTAGTTCTGATTTTAGTCCTGGTTTTAGACCTGATTTTAGTCCTATTTAGATCTGGTTTAGATCTAGATTTTGTCCTGCTTTAGACCTGGTTTAGACCTGGTTTAGACCTGGTTTAGACCTGGTTTAGACCTGATTTTAGTCCTGATTTTAGTCCTGATTTAGATCTGGTTTTAGTCCTGGTTTTAGTCCTGGATTCTTTGTTATTATATTATATTGTGATGCGTGAGCTACTGTGTCCAAATAATTTCCCCTGTGGATCAATAAAGTTTGTCTAATGTCCAAGTCTAAATAGATATAAAACGTTCAAAAAACCTGTATATGAATTATAAATGCTTTCTCCTTTGCTACACAAATAAAATGTTCCAGATAATCGGCTTAGTAAACGTACACATTAACCCCCCGCAAACCAAACACATCAGGAAAAGCATTAAAGATTAAAACTGTTTATAGTCTGAGTGAAAACATGAGCGTGGCATTTCAACTTCCCGTCTCCAGATGTGACCCGCTGTTCCCATGGCGATGTACAGATGTGCGGTGACGTAATCGCTGGACAGATGTGAACCGGCTGACCGCACCTTTACGTAACAGCTGCTTTAGGGCTGAGTCAGGCTGAAGGAGCATAAACCAGCTTACACGCGCTCTTCTTGACCAATTAAATCAGGTTTTATTTAAGTTTAGGCTTTGAAACATCATGGTTAAGTCAAATTGTGAGCTTTGTTTTACTGATTTTGTCCAAATTTTGTTTCTAATCATCGTGGTAAGTTTGTATTTGGTGTTAAAAAAAACGTTATATTGGCTGAAATTATTCTGATCCAAAAAATCCACAAATGCACAAATTAATTATTATTTGTTAGAGATTATAATCCATGTGTCATTCGTTCATTCGTTTTTCAAAATAAAACCAAAAATAAGAAAATGAAGAAATTCATTCAAAATCATTATTTGTCTCCAAAACCAAAATGAAAAAACAGATAACATTTTGTTTTTTCAGTTTTTGATTTTGTGTTTAAATGAATAATGGAAAATAATGGCAGTTTCCATGACTTAAACTGCGATGCAGGATTTTTGCGCCGCATTGAACCAGGACTAAGCCAGGTCTAAGCCAGGTCTAAGCCAGGTCTAAGCCAGGTCTAAGCCAGGTCTAAGCCAGGTCTAAAAACAGGACTAAAAACAGGACTAAAAACAGGACTAAAAACAGGACTAAAAACAGGACTAAAAACAGGACTAAAAACAGGACTAAACTAGTCCCGGTCTCAGTCCCGGTCTCAGTCCCGGTCTCAGTCCCGGTCTCAGTCCCGGTCTCAGTCCCGGTCTCAGTCCCGGTCTCAGTCCCGGTCTCAGTCCCGGTCTCAGTCCCGGTCTCAGTCCCGGTCTCAGTCCCGGTCTCAGTCCCGGTCACTTGACATGCCATCTAGTACTCCTGTTTTAGTCCTGTTTTAGTCCTGTTTTAGTCCTAGTCCTGTTTTAGTCCTGTTTTAGTCCCTTCAGTCCCGGTTTTCAGTCCCGGTTCAGTCCCGGTTCAGTCCCGGTTTCAGTCCAGCATCACAGTTTAAGTCATGGAAACGGAAAACGTCCATTTTCTGTTTTTTCCATTATTCATTTAAACACAAAATTGAAAACTGAAAAAACTAATCGTTATCAGTTTTTTTCAATTTGGTTTTGGAGACAAATAATGAAGAAAATAGTTGTTTTTTTTTAAATTTTCTTATTTTTTCTTTTATATTGAAAAATTTATGAACGAATGATACACAGATTCATTGGCTCCACAAACTTGGCATATTGAAACTATAACTTAAAGGTGCACCAAGTAACTTTTTGGTTGGAGATACATCACCTTGATTTTTTATAGAGATGCCATTGCTCTGTCTGGAATGTTCCACAATTGCCACATTTAATTCCGAATAAAAATTGATTCCGCTTTAAAAACACCATGTAAACACTTAATTCACTTAATGAAAATGATTAAGTAAGTGTGTGGTTTATTCTGATTTTAAAGCCGAGTTAATTTATTCCTTGGTCATATAAACATTTATTCTTCTTAAAAATAATTCCGGTCGTTCAGTGCATGTTTTTTGGGTTGCTTCACTCTTTATTCCGAGTGTTTTCGGGAGGAAATCTGCGTGCATACGGTGACGCAAAAGTGTGTGGAATTCGACTGGGTTTGCATGCCAGGCGGCTCGGTGGTGACGCTCGGTGGTGATGTATGTGACGTAAACGCGTACACGACGTGAGCAGATCTGACCAGAGTTTTGCGTCTTGGGCAGTGTAGACGGAAACACTACGGCGGAGCGAATTCAACTTTTCCACTCTGGAGGGTGGTTTCAGATTTGTGCATTTTTAAGCCCCAAAACGCCGTCACCGTCTAAACGAAAGGCACTTCCGATAAAATATTTTGTCGTTTTTACCCGCAAGTGTTCTCGTGTAAAGAGGCCCTCAGTTTGTCTTCTTCCTCCTTTCTCCGACACTCTTCCCTTCTCCTCCTCAGCTGACAGACATAAATCGTGATGAGAGAATTTACGAGCTGCTGCTTCAGTATCATCAGAACGACTGCGAAAAAAGTTTGGATCGTGTTTGTGTCCGTGACGTACCGACAAACTGAGATGATTCCTTTTTCGGACACAAGTAAAATCTGCGTGACATTTATTTTCGCTTATTATTACAGAAAATAAATATTTACTTTATGTTATACCTATGTAAACATTCATTCATTCACAAAAAAGCCGGTAGCAGCTGCAGTTTTAGTTTTCTTCCAGTCGACGTAAATACGTTTGTGAACATTTCCCGACCTCCAGACGTTGAGCAGAATTAAATAAAGGCAATTTAATGTGTTTGTCATGTAAACCTCAATTCAGAATTTTTATTTCCATGTAAACTCAAAAAAGAATATTTCAATCCTGAACAATTTAATTCAGAACAATTCATTCGGAATTAAAAATCATAATGTAAACGTGGCCAGTATGACATTAAACAGCTCTACCTTACATTCATTCAGTTACAGGTGGTTTTATTGCCCAATACTGTCCCTTTTTGCGTTCTATTTTTCAGGTGTTTGAGTCGGTCCTGACCTCAGAGTCTCATTGTAGATCTCCACCATGCTCACAGAGATGGTGTAGTCCCAGTCCTCCGCCTTCTCCGTCACCTCCGAGAACAGCAGCCGCAGGGCGCGCTGGTTTATACCTGGGTTTTCTGGTACACCCTGAAAATGGATCAACAAAACAAGGAGTTAAATTGTAAATGACAGCTGTACAAGTGTAGTTTTTGGTTTAACGAGCAAGAAAGGGATATTTGAAAGCACTAGGGATGCAGTTAACTAAAGAAATGATTGACTTAAAGGTGCATTGTGTAACATTTCCAGTGTAGGGTCTGTCAAACACTGGAGATGTTATTACTTGGTCTGGAATATTTGGAGTATTAAACCTTTCTAGCCTCATGCAGACTAAACCTAAATTTTAATTTAGTCCTGGTTTTAGTCCTGGTTTTAGTCCTGGTTTTAGTCCTGGTTTTAGTCCTGGTTTTAGTCCTGGTTTTAGTCCTGGTTTTAGTCCTGGTTTTAGTCCTGGTTTAGACCTTGTTTAGATCTGGATTTAGTCCTGGTTTAGACCTGGTTTAGACCTGGTTTAGACCTGTTTAGACCTGGTTTAGACCTGTTTAGACCTGGTTTAGACCTGGTTTTAGTCCTAGCACACAGGAGGAGGTGCAGACTGTGCCGTATGCGAGAAGACACAGTCCAAAAAAGGCAAAACCAATAACACATGGAGTCAAGCAGGTGGAAAAGTTACGCAATGCACCTTTAAAGACACCAACTAATTAATTGACTTAAGGACTAAAGACTGTAGCCCTAGAAAGAACTTACTATTCAGTAATGAGTATCATGGTTGTGTAAATTATAACATTTAAGATTAGTAAAAGGTAAACCAGTCAGGTACATGAATACTTCATATTCCATGTTGGCATTGTTACCTCCATGGTGTAGGTTTTCCCAGACCCTGTTTGTCCGTAGGCAAAGATACAAACGTTAAAGCCGTCGATACAGGAAGTGACCAGCGCCTGAACTTCCTGGAACACCTGCCCGACCAATCAGAAGACAGAACAACACAATGTAGGAACGGTTAAGTCTAAAGAAAAACACTGTGTAATTTAAAGTTCCTCTGACCTCCTCCTGTGTGGACTTCGGGGGGAAGACCCGGTCCAGTTCGAAGGTCATGATTTTGCCCTTGTTGGAGAGGTAGAGGAGGGAGTCGTCGTCCGAGTCAAAGCTGAGCATGCTCTTAGCGTCAGCGGAGTCCTGCTCCTCCTGACTGACCGGCCGCACACGACAAAACACACGGATGTTTCCTGAAAATATGAGAGTAAAGAAAGACGAGAGTGAATCAGCAACACTCTGAAATATACTCGTTTCTGTACATTGAAGAGGTGACAAGTCTGACTGAAATTTGAGTCTGGATTATTATACTATACTTTATTACTATGCAAGGCTCATGGATGCATGAATCATCACACTGACCTTTTAAACAGAAAACCGTAAAATCAAAAGTTTAACTTTTTTCATTTTGGTTGTTTATTGCACTGAAAAACATTTGTTCTTTCACTCTGAGTGAACTTGCATCTCCACAAACTTGACTCTTATTTGGTCGAGAGGAACGCCTCTTCCTGCCATTTCCTTTGGCTGTAAACTTTCACAGAATGTTTCAAAATATGATTTTAAGTTTCTGTTTTCATGGAATCATACAGCTGACGTTCCACCTCAAGACCAATACACATTTTGAAGTCATGCAGTGCAACATCTGGGTTCAATCTCATTGAATTTCAGAAATGTACCTTTCCACAATTTTCTTTTTACAAACATATATTTTTTTAAACAATGTATTAAGATTTCTCATATTAAACGATTAACAAAAACAATCAAACAATTACAACATAACCACAGACATTTATTGTCAATGACAATAATGAGGTGAAAACTTGTATAATATTGTATTGTATAATATGTTATGAATATTTACAAGTCACTATAAAAAAAATTACTTATTTTTCAAAAAATATTTGTGTATAGACCGCATGTGTGTTTCCATGCACTACTGTTAATAATGCACAGAACAAGAATTTTTATAGATTTATTTAGTTTTTTACCTTTGAGTCGGACGAGCTCGTTGTGGCATTTCTTCCTCAGGTTCATTTCTCGTTTGTATTTCCGCAGCAGCTCCTGGTTTGTGCTGCTCACTTCACTGATCACCTGACAAATCTGCACACAAAATACAGCAAGTGAACAGTCTATTCCAAAAATCAAGGGATCATGCAACAAAAAAAGATTAGTTTAAAGGGCCCATAATGTTGTTTCGTTATCAAAAACAAACCTGGAGTTGTGTTTTGTTTCATTCACACATGTTTAAACACACAAACCTGCAGATTTATGCTGAGTTCTTCTTTCAGTCTGAAAACTCTCTGTTCCACCTCGTGATGTCATGTGACGTACAGGAAGTGCTCCACTGTGTTTTTAAACCTCATGCACCTTCACTAGAATCAGTTGGATGATTTTAGATCTGGGAATTCTAATCTCTACTGAACAAAAAGGTAAAAGGAGCTGTTAACTTGAAAACTACCACTTCATGACATAAAAAGGTGGAACAGAGTGTTTTGAGGTTTGGAGATGTAGACAGACGAATAATAAAGGGTTACTAAAACATGTGTAAATGAAACAAAACACAACTCCAAGTATGTTTTTCATGACGTAACAACATTATAACATGGCTTAAAACTCACAAGAATCCATTTTGTGTAATATAAGACATCTAATATAGCAGTTTAGGTTACATAAAAAGAAAGATAATTCATTGTTTCCAAGGTTAAAGGGGCACTATGCAAGTTTTCTTTAATTCTCCAAAAAAACATGATAACACTCTGCAATCTCTGAAAACAAATATAAACCGGGCATGCCCAAAATATGGCCCATGGGCTAAATGCAGCCCTCAGACAAATTTTTCTTGGCCCTTAGGCTTCCAGGTGAATTGGCCCAAATAACCTTGTATCAATTAAAAATTAACTTTTTACTGCAAGTTTAATATTTAGTGTGTGGTTTTAACAGTCGGGGAGCCAAAGTCTCAAAAGCTCAATAAAATGGGTTGAACCTGATATTGTCTGCCATACTTTTTATTTGTGTTTTTTTTTTTTTTGTTAACTGTAACCCTAAGGACCAATAATTGGAGAGTCTGCTCTGCCGGAAATATCGCAAAAAAAAAAAAAAATGTGTGGCCATTTTAGTGTATGTACCCTTTATTTTTTGACAGAAAATTTTGGAAAATAAAAAAATTCCTGAAATTCTCAGTGGGTTGGATAAGTTGTCACTAAATGCATTCCAGATGCAAAGAACACATGTGATGACAACATTCAGTGAAAAAATTATTATTAAAACACATTTTTATATGATTTTGGCTCAATTTAATGTCACTTTTTTCCAATATTTTCATCTTTATCTCACTGGCAATCAACTATTCCCCCAAATTATGACATCAGCCAATATGCCATTCTTTTCACCAAACAGTAGACTCATTCCACAGAAAAAAATAAATAAAAATCCAACCAAAATCAATAGAGCTGTGATGATTTATATAAGGATCTTAGCATGAATAAAGACTGATGAATCATTCTAACAGAGGGGTCTCCAACGTTTTTCCTCCAGTGAACTACTTTCACAAAATGAAACTGCCAGAGAGCTACCTATTTTAGCAGTCGCAAAGAAATTGAGGCTAAGCCAGTACATAAATGCCTCAGCGAGTCTTAGACAGGGAACAATTAGATGCTTATAAAACATAAAACATTATACATTTCTCAGTGCACCAAGTTAGGCATTAAAATGATACATTTATATATATTTTACTTATTCAGCACATACATAGAATCCAGAAATCCCTTGGTGAGCTACTCTGAAGTGGGTGGAGAGCTACTGGTATCTCTTGAGCTATATGTTGGAGACCCCTGTTCTAACGTGTTAAACATGCACATATTTCAATTTTTCACTGTACTGATCACCAGTCTATGGCCCTCGATCAGTCCTCTGCTTCCTCTGTGTTTAGATATGTGGCCCTTGATGACAAAAGTTTGAACACCCCTGCCATAAACCAATACATCTATGAGACACGTGATGGACCCTCCACTGTAAAACTTGCATAGTGCACATTTAACGCTCAAAACAGTTGCCATGACGATAAATGACATCCATAAATTACATCCATACCTCCTGCTTGGCCTCTGCGATGGCCTTGTCCAGCATAAAGGGGAACTCCTGGACCTGTCTCTTCAGGCTGTTGTAGTCACTGGTGAGGGTCCTGAGCGCCGGCTGCAGACTCAGCAAGTTCATACGCACGCCTGAAAACACAAACACAAACAGGAACATTTGAGTTTGTATGTTTATAAGAAGTCACAATTTTAAAAGAAAATGTTACAGTATTTTTCTGACTATAAGTCACACTTTTCATGGTTTGGGTGTTTCCTGCGAGTTATACTCCGGTGCGACTTATATATTAAAATTTTCAGACTGACAGCCGCAAGAGGTCGCTTTAGGCTTGTGTGACAGTATCTAGTACTACCATTATTCCTGTACCACTGTCACTTCACTCTCCTGCGCATGTCTCCTGTAGAAAAAGCTCCTGTTGCAAATAGTGAAATATGCAGCCAAAAACGGTAATCGAGCAGCAGAAAGACAGTCTGGAGTGAGTGAGAAACTTGTGATTGACTAGTGGAAAGTGAGAATGGAGAGTACAGCTTCACGGCAACTGGACGAGTGCACCGTGCAACTTTCCTGGAAGTCACTGGATGAATTGACAAAGCCTGAACTTCAATGACAAAATGAAACCATCCTGTCCGGATTCAGAAAATCTGGAATAATTCTAACTGGAACTGATGCCGAGTCTGACGACAGCTACACAGAAGAGGAAGCAGCGCTCTGTTTACCTCATGGATCTATGGTTTATCTCCGGAGGTGGAGGAGAAGTGACACCGAGGACAAAGAATTCAATGGATTTAGTGATTTGGAGTGAGATTGTGAGTTTGGTAAACTTATGCTATTTTGTTTATGCTATAATTATCTGAATAACTTAATATGTTACGTTAACATATTAATGCCTAGTCAGCCTGTTGTTCTCTGTTCTACTGTAATTACTATAACTTGCCTTTCAAGATGAAATGTCAGTTCCTGGTCCCTGATTTTATAAAATAATTTTCCCCAAAAAAGTGCGACTTGTAGTTCGAAAAACACGGTACATGTAATCTGAGTAAACAGAGTCCAACCAGAAACTTCACAGCGGATTTTTTGTTTTGTTTTTGTTCCTTATTCATCAAACAAGAGGCAACTACCTTTCAAAAGTGTATGTTTAACTACAAAGTGTATCAAATGTGTAAATAATGCAGAAATAATCCATCTCAACATAGAATTACCGGTGTGTAGAACTTCTGATCTTCAACCTTCAACCTTCCTCGTACATTTCAGTCACAGTTATGACCACAAATCCATCCTAATCTTGTTTCCTTTGACTGACTGCAATATCTTTTTAATGTGATACGTGTTGTTCCGACCAAGTTCTGTCGTTGTGTCCTTAGGCAAGAAACTTCACCGGAGGATGGATGTTTTCTGACCTGCGAGATTTTGGTGCACAGCTTTCATTTCGCTCTCTGCTCTGATGAACGCCTCTTCGATCACACGATTCTTCTCCTCCTCCAGATTCTGCATCTCCGCCTCGAGTCGACCCTGAGCCCGCTCCATCTCCCCCTCGTACACCAGGATCTGCAGAGAAATCATGTTGATTTTATTTTACATTGCGCAAAATTTACTCTTGTGAGCTTTAAATCACGTTATAATGTTGTTAACGCCTCAAAAACATGCTTCGAGTTGTGTTTTGTTTCATTCATGTTTGAGTAATCCTGGTTTGGTGGGACCAAGTTGTCGTTTTGCAAGTCTCAAGTAAGTCTCAAGTCTTTGCCCTCAAGTCCGAGTCAAGTCCCAAGTCATCTGCTTTGAGCTTCAAATCATTTCAAGTTTTTAAACCAAACTACCAAATATAGCTTAGATTTTTGTGATTTATATGAATCTTAAACTAAATTATACTTAAAAAGTCATGATATATTTATATATTAGTATTTTTATAGAGTATATAAGAGTTGTAGAAATGCAAATTTTCCCTTTTTAAATGTCTTGACAAGATCTTAGAGTGAATCATTACAATCAGAATTCAGATTTAAAAGTGCTTCTCAAGTCTTCAAATCTGAGTCAAGTCCCAAGTCATTGACCTTCAAGTTCAAGTCGAGTCCCATGTCTTAGTCCATTTTATCAAGTCAAGTGTCCTAAAAAGTCCTAAAAATAGTGATTCAAGTCTAACTCAAGTCAAAGTCACGACTTGCAAGTCCCCACCTCTGGTCTGTGCACATCTCCAAAGCTCAAAATTCAACCTTGTGATGTCACGAAGTGGTAATTTTCAAGTTTTTACATTTTGTTTAATAGAAATTTACTATTCCAGGGTTGAAAATTATCCAAATCATTCTAGTGAAGTTGTACGGAGTTTAAAAACACAGTGGAGCACTTCTTGTATTCCCACATGACATCACAAGGTGGAACAGGGTGTTTTTTTTGTTTGAGAGAGGAACTACATTTGCAGAGTTTCTGCGTTTTGAATGGATGAATGTAAGAAAACACAACTCCAGGTCTGTTTTTGAACATCAATAACATCTCCAGACAGACAATCTACCAAAAAAAGTTCCTATAAAATGCTGACTGATAATAATTGGTCTATTATGAAAGTTTTTTTGTTTAATTTCAAGCTCACCACAGAGCTAATGTAAGACTAGTAGACATGTAAAACAATACTCTTTACATTACGTATTCAGGAGGATATGGGTCACGTCACAGTTACACTGCAGCTACAATGAGCAGGTTCACAGAAGGAGAAGACTGGGAGCTACATTCACAATAAGATCAGACCTTAGACAGTTTATGAATGACCGCAGTGTGGCCCACAGCCTTAGAGACAGAATCATACAAGCGCTGGAGGCAAGAAGGAAACAGAAGTGGAACTCAATACAGGGTCAAGAGTGTAATATCAAACATGTAAAACCACAACACATGACCTATATATATCCTATAGTATTATTGAGAGAAGAGTTTGTATTTGTGGACCACCCAGACACAGGGGGAACATGCAAACTCACAGCTAAATTTGGGAATTGAACCAGGGAGTGCTTATCCCGATTCATCAGCAAGTTTCATGTCGTGGAAACTGTCTGACCTCGCAGCATTAGGATTCGTTCGCTCAATGGTAAGCAGATGCTTTTTTAAAATTTAACCAATCGTTGCTATTTGGTCTTGACGTATGGAATGTGCCAAAGCCCATAGGAAGAAGGGAATTAACATCTTTCCCCTTGATAAAATTCACCAAATATTCTCTTTGTTCCAGCTTTAAATCCTCAATCTTGGGAATTGTAGCCAACACAGAATATGTCTTTGTCTACATCCATTTCAACCGCTTTATTTACTGTTGTGCTGTACCACACAAGGGCCCCAGACAGGCACTTTAGTTTGATGTCATGGCTTCACAGCTCTTCACTGATTGGCCAGTGTGCGGTCTACAACTTCCAGAGTTCGTACAAACCGTCTAGTGTATTCTGATTCCTGACCTAGTCGCTGGAGAGAAATGAAATTGAGCGATGGTACTAGATGGCGCCAGCCTGGCTAAGAGTATGCTCTCTAAAAGGGTAAATATTCTCCATAACCAAACCTGGACACATTTCCCTACCCACTCCTCCCCATTGGTCAAACTCCTTAAGACACTGAGTGGAAAGAGCCAATCACAGTGAAGTATGGATTCACTGCATCTTCAGTAAAGGCAATGTAAAATGACTTTCTCAGAGTGTATTTTGCTTTTTTTGCTTTTTAGATCGTCAGTTTTTGTGTTGTGTTTTATTCTGAGTTGTATCGGCATTGTTGTCATAGGTTTTGTTAAAAAGAATAAATAAATGAATTGTCTGGCTCCAGGATAATAAGGTTATAAAAATCCTTGGCATTTCACATTTTTTGCAGGTTTGTGGAAACTACATAACATTCCCCTCTCACCTGCGCTCTGTGTTCAGTCTCACCTGTGTTCGTAGCTGTGTGCAAGTGCGTTGCGAGTCGTGGAGCTGTGTCTCTAGTTCTCTCAGCAGTTGTCTCTGCACTGACACTTGCTCCTGAAGAGCAGAGTTCTTCCCCTGGAGCTCGGACAGGACCTTCTGAGAGTCTGCAGACTGCACCTCCACCGTCTGAGTCACATACTGTAAACACAGACGAGACAAAAGAAAGAAAATCACATTAAAGTAAACTTAAGTGTTAATTTTTATTGTTTGATTGCATTTAGCTTGATGATATTATTTCTGTAAGTAATCTTTGGAAACTGCGTAATTAAAACAAATCTGCCTTTGACCTGCTCCTGCTACTTTTACATCTTTTTGCTTTTTTGGTTGTGATTTATCGATCTCTGGAAAGACGCTTGTTTTTTTATTCTGAGCACCCACGCGCCTCTCAGTGTGGGATGCTTCCTGATTTGTTCCACTCTCATTTGAGTGCAAAAATCAAACCAGAGTACGCTGCTCAGACAGAAACCAATCAATCAGTGGCGGAGTTAGCAATTTGGGGGCCCTAGGTGAACTTGAGTTTGGGGCCCTCACTACAATGCACCGTTTTTTTTTTTTATTTTTTTTTTTAATATACAGTATTTATTTGTTTGTTTTCCTCATTGGTCTTGAGACATGCACATCTCTATTTGAATTATGGTGGATTGGGAACTTGTCTTATTATTTCAGTCGCCTATTAGACAACCAGAATTGAAAGTAGGTTTATTTTTTGTTAGTTCAATTACATTTTTGTTTACATCCATTACATATGATTATTACAATTTTCCTTATGATTATTGTTCAAAAGTAAACTACTCACATTTAATGTCATATTGAGAGAAAATCTAATTACTCTGAGGCCTCTGTCATTAGTGGCACTGAGGGCAATTATTTGGGGGCCCCTCGGTAGCTGCCGACATTTGCCTAATGGTAGTGCCGCCTCTGTCCCCAACTGGAATTCACACATTCGCAATTGCTCAAAAGAACTGGACTAACCAGGCAAACAGATCCTGACTTGAACCAAAAACAGATGCCAAACTGGATAATAACACCGTGGCCTGTCTGTGATCCTGTACTTCCTCACCTTGACTCTAGGCGGCGCTGTGGCCTGTCTGTGCAGCTCTTCCTCGCACTCTTGTATCCTGACGGTGAGTTTGCGCTCGGCTTCGGTCTGCGTGCGCTCGGACTCTTGGAGCTGCCTCGTGGCCTGGTCCAGCTCTCGGTGAAGACTCTCCACGTTCTGGGTCTTCTCCTGGAGGTCCCTCTCCAGCTCCACCAAACGCCGCTCCCTCTGTCGCGCCTGGCTCTCCCAGCGGGTGACCTCCCTCTGAAGGGACTCTGCATTCTGGGACACAGAGGGCAGTCAAAGGGTTAGTTTGTCTTATAGTTGAAATAATGAATTAATGGTTTTGTTTTGAGCTGAACTATAGAACTTTCTGATGGAGGTGGACGCTTGCTGCCCCATCTGCCCCCTCCCCACAACCAGGTGGGGAGGGCAGATGGGGCTGTTGTACCTGGCTGTGGGGGCAGATGAGGCAGTAGTATCTGGTTGTGGGGACAAATGGGGCAGTTGTACCCAACTGTGTGGGCAGTTAGGACTGTTGTACCTGGCTATGGGGGCAGTTTTGCTCTGTACCTGGCTGTGGGGACAGATGGGGCAGTAGTACCTGGCTGTGGGGGCAGACGGGGCAGTAATACCCGACTGTGGGGGCAGATAGGGCACTTGTACCTGGCTGTGGGGGCAGATGGGGCAGTAGTACCTGGCTGTGGGGGCAGATGGGGCAGTTGTCGGAGGTGGGGTCGGAGCTCTTGCATATTTTCAGCTCCTGCTTCAGACGCTGGTTCTCGACCACCAGCCGCTCCAACTGCTTCTCCAGGTCTGTCGCCCCCTGCAGGACAAACATATAAAACAAGTGAACCTCTTCAGTTCTACAGTTGGTCAAAAGGATTTAGTGAAAACTAATAAAAGTTCTGAGGAAGGCTGGCAGCTAAGAATCCAGTCATGCCAACAAGGTATTGAAACTGAAACTCTAATTCAACAGACTGTCCTTTAATATTGGCTGTGTTGGCTTTGCTAACACCTCTTATATCCATGCAGACTCCACCCAGAGAACATGGTCACTGTGTTACATAACAACAGGCTCTTTACAGCAGATCAATACTGACACAGCTGTATTGATCGGTCTATCTATAGCACCTTTGTGACTAAAATAGAGTAGAATAAATAGTTACCCAGAGTGATCCAACTCTATACTAGTTTAGTGATATACACAGATAATTCTACACAGATCAGACTAAATAACTGTTCATTTTTGTTACTGCATGGACTTAAGACATGTTTCCCCAACAGCACTAAACAACAGATGGAAAAACAAACAAAAAAAGCTTTAGTAAAGATTCCATCCCATGTTATCTTCGATACTTAAAGGGCCCATATTACTAGCCTGATTCATCAGCCGGTTTCATTTCGAGGAAACCGTCTGACCTCGCAGCATTAGGATTTGTTCACTCGACAGTGGGCAGGTACTTTTTTTTATAACCAGTCGCTGATATTTGGTCGCGACGTATGTAATGTGCCGGGGTGCTCGGTGGTGTCCGAGTACTTGCCGGCACAACAGCAAACAAAGTAGAGAGTGAACATGTCTGTTAATGATCACTGTCGTTTTTGAACTTGCATATTAAAAGGTGCAATAAAAAATGCTAAGTTTGTATTTGACAAAAGAAGTCCAAAGGAGGATAGCGTATGCAGTCAGCTCTTTGCTGATTGGCCAGTGCGCGGTCTACAACTTCTGGGGTTCTTGCAAACCATCTAGTGTATTCTGATTCCTGATCTAGTCGCTGGAGAGAAATTAAATTAAGCAGCGGCACTAGGAGGCACCAGCCTGAATACTATATTACGCCATTTTCTGTTATAATGTTGTTTCCTGTGTTTTGTTTCATTCACACATGTTTAACACACAAACCCTGCACATTTACGCTGACATCTTTTCTCAAAGTGAAAAAGCTCTGTTCCACCTTGTGATGTCCTGTGGTTACACAGAAAGTGCTCCACTGTGTTTTTAAATTTGATACACCTTCACTATAAAATAATAATTTCAGCCCTGGAATTGCCAATCTGTATTGAACGAAAAGTAAAATGTAGCTGTTATTGAACGAAAAGTAAAATGTAGCTGTTAACGTGAAAACTACATGACATCAAAAGATGGAACAAAGCATTTTGAGCTTCAGAGACGTAGACAAACTAATAAAAGTTTACTCAAACAAAACACAACTCCTGGTCTGTTTTTGATGAGGAAACAGCATTATAATATGGTTTAAAGCTCACAAGAGTCCGATTTGTGTAATACAGGACATTAAAATTAACAATACTTTTAATGTGTAAAGCCATTTTGTTATTTTTATGGTTATGACACTTTATTTTACATTTCCACTGAACCTCCAAAGCACCTTCCCTGTTTGCGTTTCTGTTTTTGTTCAGAGACAATAAAGCAATAAAGCTTTCTACACCAAGATTGAAAAGATGCCAAATGTGGCTTGGACTTTCTTTCACCAATTACAATACACGTACCACTCGAACACACTTTCTCCTTTCTAAAGTTACCTCAGCAGATATAGTTTTTCTTATGACCTGCTTTGTCGTGTGTTGAACGAGATACTTTCACTGTGTTTATTTTGCGAGAGGAATGCGGTCTGTACCAGTTCAGAGCGCAGTCTCTCCACCTCCTGGGTCTGGTCCAGTAACTTCTCCTCCAGCTCCTCCACCTAAAAACACACAAAGACACCAGAGCAACCAGTGAGGTGCAATTAAAAGAAATACCTACGTCATTATAATGTCTGAAGTCAGATCTATGAGTGGTTTGGTAAGCCCTGCAGGCATAAACATTATAATTAAAAGTGAATGTTGAGTGAAGGACAATAAGACATAATTACTACATAAATGCTTCTAAATCAACTTAAACCTTTCACTCCAAGTACCAGGGAAAGATTTATGTAAATTTAATTGTAGTCAGAAAACTAAAGTCCATTTTTGAACTATTAAAGATCTAATGTGGGTCTAAACCAGGTCTAAAAGTGGACTACACTTCCATATGTGCCACAATTTTAAAAAGTACACAACTTTCTGGAGGAGTGTTCACCACCTGCTTGTCTTCATGGAAATTTTATTGCTTTGTCTAGAATATTTCACAGAGTGGCATTAAACTTATCTATTTCCAGCTCTTAATTCCTCCAAGCCAAGTTACAGGTCAGATCTGTGGAGAGTCAAGCTCATTTACTGTAGGCATGCATATATTTTGAGCTGTAAAATAGCACCTATAATTAAATAAATGCATAAAAACCTAGATGAGTTTAATGACATTCTGTGAAACTTTTCAGGCAATGCAATAAGATCTCCATAAAAACAATCCTGTGGCAGAACCCTACCAGAAAAGTTACACAGTGCACCTTTAAGAAACATTGTTCTAGGCCAAATCTTGAAACATCTCTCTTTAACAATGTAAAGTTATAATAATTCAATGAAAGAATAACAAGTGAAGTGCTTTGTTTTGTTTTCTTTTGTTTGAGTTTATAGTTTTATTGGTTTATTGTCGTACTTTCATGACAATGTAATGTATTAAATCGTGAGAACCAAGCACATAAATGGACAATCTTAAAACATGGGTCATCAAACTAAGGCCCGCGGGCCAACTCTGGTCCTCCACGCGCCTTGGACCGGCCCCTCAGTCAGTTTTCAAAGAATATAATCTGCGTCGTCAGGGTCGTACAATTCTGTTATACGACCCCGACCCAACCCCGGCCCCCATCACAGTCAGGACTGAAAATGTGGCCCCCAGAGAAAAAAGTTTGGTGACCCCTGTTCTTAAAAGGTGCTGTTCCTAATTTGTCCAGTCTTAAAAATATGAGAAATAAAACTTGTATTGCATTTTTTTTGTTCTTCAGAGTTTTGCTGCCATGCCAATACCAGCAACTACTAGCATGCCAACAGTGCACTTCTTGATAAAACAACTTACAAAAAGATTCAGACAGCACACAGCCACAGTGGTGTCATTTTAACCCCAGGAGCTTTTACTATATATCTGTACTGGTGGAAAAAAGTCAATTTTGCAGAATAAGTCTGCTTTAAATATTGATATTTTTGCATGTGATTCAACATTTTACCACGTTAGGATTGAAACAAAGGCATTTTGGTATCGATCTGCACATCACTACATCTGAGTAAGGCTAGGTTGTAACTGAATCATGTGAGAAATAATAAAATAAATTGTTCTTTTGTTCTAGGGGCTTTTACAGCACATCTGAACTGGGGAAAAACTACAAGGAAAAAAACATGTACAGCCTCTTTAATGGTTTCTTATCCCCCTATAAACCAGCTCATTAAACAGATCTGACTAACTATTATTAGCACGTGTATGTAAAGTGTTATTATCCAAAACAGAACACAACAATAAAGTTAACAGCATCTGCAGCAGCACAGAGAGAACAGAGGAGCAGGGTGTTTAAAGCCTCATTAGATCAGCAGCACAGAACTGTCGGGACAAAAATAGACTCAGACACAGTCTCTTAAACACAGGAGATCAGCCTGAAGTTTGTGCAGATGGAGACTGATATGATGAGGTGCTTGTCACAATAACACAATCTAAAAGGTCCTATATAGTGTTGGGAGTAACATGTTATAAAAGTAACAAATTACTGTAATGTGTTGCTTTTTGCTGTAATGCAGTAATGTGGCATTACAGGGAAAAAAAAGGTAATATTTTACTCTGTACAAATGTCAATAAACCTCGACTGAAGAGGTGGGTTTTTCATTTTTCTTCATACAAACTCACTAAAATCACCAAGATATCAGCAGTGGTGAAACGCCATTGTTACGGTTCCAAATGTCAGGACAGGCCCGGAGGTGCGCCTGCGTAGACCGTTTGGAAACTGCGGGCGAAAGGACCAGCGCAGAACTCCGCGCTCCACAAGGCTAATCGCAGCCGACGCCCAATCGTGCTTTGAGGACACCCTGCTCCACTGGCTCAGGGTTCTCTCAGGGGAGGTGCTAGATTCCAAGCCTTGGTCCTGGTTCGGTCCTGGTTTGGTCCCTGGCTCAGTCCTGGCTCAGGCCGTATACGGTGCACAAATCCGGCATACAGTTATTTTGGTGTGAGAGTAACTTAAAAGTAGTAGTTTTCAAGTTAACATCTACCTTTTCTCTTTTTCAGTAGAGATCGGCAATTTCTGACCTGAAATTATTCAAATGTTTCTAGTGAAGTTGTGTGGAGTTTAAGAGAAGAACACAGCCTAAATATGCAGGGTTTGTTTGTTGAACATTAATGAAACAAAACACAACTCCAGGTCTGTTTGTGCTGAGGAAACAACATTATAACAGATCAGAAAATAGTGTAATATGGGCCCTCTTGCACAGTGTTCTCTCAAAGCTACACACTCCTCTGGTTTTGTTTGTGGGGGGTCTGACCTGTGTTTGCAGCCGGCTCACGAGCTGCTCCTCCTCTGCACTGGGACGGTCAGATTTACTGGGCTCTGACAGAGGAACACCTGCAGGAAAAATAGAAAGTGTTTGCTTATAAGTTATTGCACAATCAACCATATCTGTACTGGTCTGTGTTATAACACTATTCCTCCTCATACCGTTGCAGTGGGCGGGTGGGGGCGAGTCTTTGGGTGAATCCACAGTAGTTTGTCCCTCCGAGTTTTGCTGCTGCAGCTGCTGGAGCAGGAGGAGCCGAGTGACCTCCTCAGAGCGCAGTCGGGCCTGGAACTCACACACCTTCTCCTGGAGAGTCTGAACAATCACACACACAGAACAATTTCATTTTAGTACACGTTATTATTACCCTTTATTTAACTAGGACCGTGTCTTATTCAGATTGAACCCAGAGTAACTGCGGAGGATGAAATAATTCCAAATTCATAGTGCCACGAAGCTCCAGATTAATTTTGTTGGCGTTTATTTTCACCACAGCCCTTCTTAGTTTTTATCTTAAATAAATGACCTCTTGCATAAAGCTGAAATGTTATATTTTATTTAATTATTTTATTTTGACTTTTACATATACCGTTATACAGTTATGCCTATTTGACACCTGTCTCTAGCTCTTTTTTGCAACTTATTTGTAATTTATTATCATCATTTATATTTTTTACGTTTTATTATTATATTATATTGTGATGTTTGAGCTACTGTGTCTAAATATATTCCCTTGAGGGCAGTGGCGGAGTTAGTAATTTGGGGGCCCTAGGTGAACTTGAGTTTGGGGCCCTCACTATAATGCACCGTTTTTCTGTTTTGTTTTGTTTTTTAATCTATATATTGTTTGTTTTTCACCATTGTTCTCTATTTATTTGAATTATGGTGGATTGAAAACTTGTCTTATTAGTTCGGTCGCCTACTAGATAAAACTACTTTCAGTTCTGGTTATTTTTTTGCTAGTACAATTACAGTTTTGTTTAAATCCATTAGATATGATTATTGTTATTTTTTTTGTGATTCTTGTTTAAAAGTAAACTACTCTCATTTAATGTCATATTGAGAGAAAATCAAATTGCTCTGAGGCCTCGGCCATTAATAGCACTGAGGGCAATTGGTTGGGGGCCCATCCAGGTTTGGGGGCCCTAGGCAACCACCAACTTTTGCTTAATGGCAGCTCCGTCTCTGCTTGTGGGTCAATAAAGTTTGTCTAATATCCAAGTCTAAATGATTAGTTACAGTTTGAACATGTGGTCTCACACCTGCTCCTTTCAAAGTTTGAGATCACAACAATTCTCAATTTCTCATGTGAGATACACTCAAAAGAAAACCACCAACATCAGTCGCTCTGTGTGAAGTCTGATTCCCCAACTCCAAAAATGAACCCTGAATTAGGGGGCCCTTTTTTTTTTTTTTTTTTTTTTTTAAATATATATTTATTGTCTGTTTGTCCCCATTGTTCTTGAGACATGCACATCTCATTTATTTGAATTATGGTGGATTGAAAACTTGTCTTATCATTTCGGTCACCTACTAGATAACAAGAGCTGAAAGTAGTTTTATTTTTTGCTAGTACAATTACTTTTTGTTTACATCCATTACACGTGACTATTATTACATTTCTTATGCTTACTGTTTGTTTATTGTGGCACTGAGGGCAATCGGTTGGGGGCCCCTTCAGGTTTGGGGGCCCTAGGTGGCCAGCTATTTTTGCCTAATGGTAGCGCCGCCTCTGCTCCTCACTCAGACTGAGCACCCTGAAGAAACGAATTACATTACACTAAAAGCAGCCAAGTTATTACTGTAGAGATGAAGGAAAATAAAGGGAATACAGACTATGGAAGGAGAATATGAAGCATATGGAGTTTTTTTTTTTTTACATTGGCTGAAGTCCAGAGACAGGACCAGGTCACCTTCTTGAGAGCACATGCAGAAGATAAATATAGGACAAGATTAATTTAAAACACAGGTGAACAGGTGAAGCGAAGAGGAACATATTGTACTTGTGGGACCAGGAAGCTCCCAGAAAAAGCAGAGTCACAGGTTTGACAGAGAACAGTGATGGTGACTGATGCCCCAGAGGAACAGCAAACATGAGTCAGCAGAAGTTAGAGCAGAGGACGGACCACGACTCAGCAGTTTGTCATTTAAATTGGACTCGGGAGTTCAGCTTTAGGGCACTGTCTCTTTAAATACACCGGGATCCAGGACGGTTATTATAATTGTCCAAATACAGGGCCAATTGGTGCAGACAAGCAGTTTTTTGTCTGCTTGTCTTCATCAAAATGTCCCACAGTATGGCCTTAAACACATCTATCTCCACAAAGACAAATATGTGAAGACACCAGGCTAAGTTACAGGTCAGATCTGTGGCGAGTAGAGCCCACTCACAGTAAGAATGCGTGTTTTTCCAAGGAATTTCTGAGCAACAAAACACCTGTAATTGAATCAGTGCAAGAGATGAATGACTTTAATGCCTTACTGTGGGAAATTCTGGGCAAAGCTATAACATCTCCATGAGACAAATAGGTGTAATACTCTCCAACATAAAAGCTACACATGGCACCTTTAGTAAATAAAAATTTGTGCATTGGGTGGCAAAACATTCACTCTGAAAAAACGTAACCTAATTCGACCTTACTTGCCGCTACAGGTGCAATTTAATTTTAATCCTCTCTTACCTGTATGAGCAGGTGCTGGGTGGGGGAGCTGTTCTCTTTCAGTTCGGCGCTCAGTGACGATCGCCGTGGAAACGCAGACGACGGTAGAGACAGAAACGAGCCGTCCTCTTCACCATCACTCATCAGGAAGTCCACGGAGCTCGCTGCAACACGCACAAGAGAGAAAACAAGAGTGAGACATACAGGTGAGACAAACAAGCACAGACCAGAGCAACCGCTGGATACATCTACGGAGATTAGAAATGGGCATGTCGGGAGAATTAATGATCGATTTTTGATTAATCATTCGTGTTTTTATATTAAAATTATCATTATTTTTACCATCACTAATCTGCATAAATAAACTCAACTTTAAAACATATAAAACCATAACCACTCTAGAGACACATCAGCCCGTTTGAGATTATAATGTGTTTAATGAAGATTTGACACATTTGTTTATGCTTTACAGAAATAAAACTTAAAACCACATGACTCATTTGCATAAACTGTAAGTGGAAAAAAACAAAACAAAAAAAACAACAACTGCTTTTTCCTTGTGCACTGAAGCGGTTCAGCTTCTGTAGAACTAAAGGACATGACTCGGTGAATCTGTTCTGTCACAGAGAGAACGCTCATATTCCACTATCATCATCATCAACATCCCTCTGTGTGTATATCGAGTTGGAGAAGGTTCTTGTTTTCAGAAATCATGTGTGTGCAGATTTTACAAGTGCAGGTTATACGTGTGCAGGTTTAGTGCAGCTCTTTAATTTCACTAATTTTATGTTGGTCCCGTTATTTACTTTGGCTTCTGTTGTGATGAAAAGACTGAAAAGTGTTTGTCTTTTGGACACATGTGCACTCAACTTTATGTAGCAGTAACCAGGATACTGCGTGTACATGCACCATGATGAAACCGGGATACTCAAAAAACCTGATCATACCCGGGACACTGATGTGCTGTAAACAGACTCACTGAGTCCTACAGTGTCTCCAAGGAGCCAGAGCCCAAACTTGGGACTGTGAGGCCACAACTCCAGTGTTTGCCTCGTCTCCTTACACACAGCAACTTACATTCAGTTTGTCGATTAAAAATGAACATGATTGATGAAATTCTTAATACTCAATTATTGATTAGTCGACTAATTATGCCCATCCCTAAAAGAGAAAGAGAGTTATTTCTCTGCCAAGATTGTTCCACAGTATGACATTAAACAGTTCTACCTCAGATTAATTCAATTACAGGTGATTTTATAGCTCAAAAACAGACATTCTGACTGTGAGCAGGGTTGCCTCTCCACATATCTTTTTTAATATCATACTGTGAAACATTCCAGACAAAGCAATAACATCTCCAGAGAAAAGTATTTGTCCACTGGAAACACAATGCACCTTTAACTTCATGAGAGTGGGTACTTTGTGAGATATAGTTAAATGCCATCACTTTCTGACCCAATTGTGCAAACATCTAACGTCTAACTGCCAAAGATGTTGACCTTAATACCACAGATTCATCTTGCGTCACAAAATCTTCTTATAGATTCCCCACTGTGCTACAGGGACCATACAACCGTGTTCAAGAATGTGTGACAGAAATACAGCTTGGAAAAAGTGTGAAGACACTGAAGTATTTTTACGCTTCACGGAAATACGACCACGTGTCCCCAATTCTGTCTGCCCTTCACTGGCTCCTTGTTCATTTCAGAGTGGATTTCAAAACACTTTTGTTTTTAAATGCCTAAATGGCCTTGCCCCACAATACCCTGCTGACCTATTGGTGCCAGACTCTCCAATGCACCAGCCTCTGCTCGAGCATTTTCTGTTGCTGGGCCTAAATTATGGAATAAGTTGCCTATTCACATAAGACAAGTCGACTCTCTTCTTGCTTTAAAATCACTTCTTAAAACACACTTGTTTTCATTGGCTTTTAACTAGTTTTGATATTTTACTGTTCAGTAATTGTTGTATATATATTTTGATTGTATAATACTTTTTTTTTTTTTTATCTTTGTGAACAGCTCTTTGGTCAATTTTGTTGTTTTTAATAGTGCTTTATAAATAAACTGGATTTGGATTTTGCGTATTGAAGAGAATTTGATTGACTTGCTTGTACTGTATATTGTCAATAATGGAAAACGTATCAATCATCAAAGGTACGAGTGACGCAATAGAAAACATTCACATTTAACATCTAAAGCTTGTGTGTTGTAGTACGGTAAGTTACTAAGTCGAGGAGCTCAAATCTGATCAACACATGAACAATAGTGCACTGTGGGAAATATCTGGGCATTAACTCGGCTTAGGGGAAACAAATAACTACATTCAACCACTGTTTATGTTAAATAATTTGCTGAATGTGAAATTTGTACCAGATGCCCTTCCAATTATGGTGTTACAGCCAAAAACTGATTGGAGTACAGGCAGTTCTGGTAAAGTGTCTTGCCTAAGGACGCTATAAGTGTGCCGAGTCAGAGTGGGAGTTGAACTTACAGGAAGCTTAAGGATTCTCTCAAGTATCAGTGCTTCATATGGTCTGATTTTAATAAATTTTTATTCAAAGGTTTTTGTGTTTCCAGCTGATTTCCACTTTGGTTGATGAAAATATTTTTGTATCATGTAAAGTCCCCCTGAATTGTACCCTTTATAATCATAGATTAGTTAACTTATATACTGTACATATATCTCAACACATTTGTTCATACAGACAAACAAGACATGCAGAAATTAACTGTGTAACTTCTCCTTAACCAACTCCATGTTATGGCAAAGCAGCAAAGTTTCTTGTGGTAAGGAAATAATTCATATTTCTTCCCAAATCAACAGTCACAGATGCTATAGGACATGGGGAACAAGAAAAAATTATTTAAAATACGACTTCATAGGAAACTTCTGCGAGCAAATGAGGATTATATTGATATTATATGCTGGAAAAATGTGTGCCGCTTCAGGAAGATCGGTAAAATGACATAAACAAGGCCCAACATTTGGTCTCGCTACATTCACATTTTATTAAGCTATAGAATGATTTTCTGACTCGATACATCACACAGCAGGTAACCATGTGCCGCCCAAGAGAAGGGGACACTTGAGCCGGGACTTTCAAGCCACGGGAATGCTCGAGCCGGTATTCACTAAAGCGGGTCATTTTAAAGCCAGTTTGGCAGCGTACACACAAGACTTACCAATCTAACAGTGTACAAGTATTAAACTACTGCAATTAAGTAAATATTTTTCCAGCCAAACACTGATTGGAGTAAAAAGTGTCTTGCCCGAGGATGCTATAACTGTGCAGAGTCAGAGCGGGAGTTGAACCTCACACGTTGAGTTACTTGAGTGAATCCTTGAACTTCCTGCATCATTTTTATTCAAAGGTTTTTTGCTTACATTGATTTAAAAAAAATCATAACTAAAGCAGGGTTTTGATATTCTACTCTAAGTATTAAAGTACTAAAGTAAATATTTTAGGTATCTGTATTTAAGTAAATTTAAAGTGGATACTTTTAACTTTACTACATTTGAAAGCAGGTATCTGTACTTTCTACTCCACATTTTTTAACTGGATGAGAATTAAAAGTATTTATTACCATATTATGATTTGTACTATGTAGTTTGATCTGATACATTTATTTTTTAACATGTTCGTAGTTTGCGCAAACAAAAATATACAAATTAAAACAGATAGGGAAAAAATATGAATTCAGTTTTTTCTGTTAAAAAATATTTGGTCCATATCTGTATCAATTAATCCTTACATTTGAAGTTTTATCACCTCAAAACCTATTAAATACTTACTTTTTACTCTTTTTTTTAAACAGGTACTTTAATACTGCTACTTAATTAGTTTTGATACTTTTACTTGAGTGTTTTTTGCTCCAGTATCAGTACTTTTACTTAACAAAACTGAGTACTTCTTGCACCTCTGCCTATCTTAAATGACTTCTATACAGCCTGACGTCAAAACAAATGGTCGATGAATCATATCTGAACCCCACCTGTGCATTTTTGTGCAATGACAACATTTAATGTGGTAAAAACAACATTAGTTTGACACTTGGCCTATTGCTCAGGTGAACAGTAAAACAAGCTCTGAAACTCCTGCCTCTTTCCCTGTTACAGTCACAATAGCTTCTGTGTTGTAAGTAACCCTGATCCTCTCCCGGGACCAACACTGTAAGAAGATCAGCCTCTACATACTCAACATGACAAGAAAAACAAACGTAACAGTATTCTAGCTTTTTATGATCTGATTCTTACCTGTTTGCTGCATTGATTTGACACCTCTTGCTAAAGCTCAGTGGACTTCCATTCATTAGTTTAAAGGTAAGTCTAGAGGCTAGCCCCTCCCTCCACATAAAAACAGACATGCCAAAAATCCGGCCGGCTGAGTTCTGCGCGTCCCGCCCACTTCCCGCTCACCGTCCAATGAGATGTCGTTCTTCCAGAGCTCCTGCAGGCAGGGGGCGTGGCCGAGGTCCCAGGTCTTTCTTGTGCCAAACATGACCGCAGGGCTGAGCAGAGCGCTGGACCGCGGGACCGGCTGAAAAAAAGAGAGACGGGGATTAGGTGTTATTATGTGTTGTTGGAATATAATTTATGGCAAACATTCACCATAAATATTATAAAGATGTATGGATTATGCATATGTGCAAATGTTTGTAACTTTGTTAAAACTTTGTTCTGCATTTTCGGACATTCAAAGACGACGAGCAAGATCACTTCTCTGACATTTGTTCACAATCTCCCGCGAGTCCACCTTGCCCAGCTCTTGCTGTTACATTTGCCTGATCCACCAATCACAGAGCAGCACTGAGGTTTAGGAACAAGCTAAAGGTTTAAGTTTAAGTTTTAAAAATTTATATAGCACTTTTGTAACAGGCATTTGTCACAAAGATGCTTTACAGATCATTATTCATTCACTCCATACCCAGTGATGGTAAACTACTACTGTAGCCACAGCTGCCCTGGGGCAGACTAACCGAAGCACGGCTGCCAATCTGTGCCATCGATCCCTCCAACCACCACCATCACTCACACACAACACTTTCATCCTAGGCAATGGGTGAAGTGCCTTGCCTAAGGACACAACAACAGTTTGAGCGACTGGAGCCCCACTGTGGCACCTGGTTTTCCCAGTGGTCGCACATTCAAGTACTAACCAGGCCCGGCCTTACTGAGCTTCTGAGATCTGACGGGATCAGGCTTTGACAAGCCGGTATGGCGATAGGTGACACAAATCAAACATGGCGACGTCATCATCCTGTTGAAAATAAGGTCTATTGTCTTTTTGAAAACTGTGCAGAAGGGAAGCATTTTGTGCATTTTGGGACAGGGAAGTTGTCTGAACTTTTCTCTGAGCTGGATGAAACAAAAGTTTGATTTTTCATCTTGTTCCGCTGTTGTGACGCAGATTCAAATAGTCATGATGCTCTGCCTTTTTGTGATCTCTTTCAGTGAGCTCCGTCCCAGACTGATAATGTGTAGAGCTCACTTCAGAGTGACACAAAAATCAATCTGGCCTGACAGGTTAACTCACTGGTGTGGTAGTAATCTATATGAAATGGCAGTTCAGACTCAGATCAACAAAACCAATGCCACCAACTACAATTTAGCCAAAGTGTCTTGTCCAAGAACAAAACAGCAATAGTAATATTTTTATTATCCGTCATGTCTAGACCCCCACATGCACAAATAGCAATGGTCCATAAAAGCAACAATCCAACTACATAAAGCAAACTACAAGAGTAAACAACACCACACTGCACAGTCCCTCTGCTGAAGTGTCCTACCAGTCCACGTCGCCATGGTTTCCTCTGGGCCAGTGTCCAGTCAGATCTGTCTCTGTCCACCCAGCTTTTGTGAATGAGACTCCCCACCCAGCCTATCATCCTGTTGAACTTTTACATCAATATTTTAACATCTGCACATCTGAACATAAACAGAGGCTCTGAGCAGGTCCTTCACACGAGACAGACTGAGCAGGTAAACTACACCACACTCAGGTGATCCTCTGCCCCACGGTTAAAATCAATCTGATCTGGAGTCAGTTTAAATACAACACAATGCAAACAAAAGGACACATGCAGATTATATTGAACTGATCTGAGGTCAGCAGACAAACGGTGACCGTAATCTGATTTAATCCCAAAGCAGATGTCCTAGTTAACCCATGAACGCACTCACGATCCACTATGTTAGGCTTGTTAAAGGGTTTTAATGAATGAATGAAACTTTCACTAGAGTCATTCATGAAATCGCTGTGTGAAGTATAAATATGCCACAGTTCTCACAATACTAAAATTTCAAGATATTCTGATACTAAAGATATGCAGATTTTGATAGCCAGATGATAATTTTAAAATATTTTCAGACAATATTGTGATTTTCAACAAAGTATAATAGTATTTGTTATTACACCATGTGATCTGACATTAGTTCTGATCAAATTCAAGATGAAACTGTTCATACTGGTCATATTTTATCCAGTTGTGCAATCATTTTCAGTATTGATACTTAAACTTTCTTAAAACTCGAGTTTTAGTATTGGTTAGTATCTGATTTTCAATATTTTTGACAGCCCAAGTCACAATATTAAATTTGTGTGTTACTATTGTGAAAAGAAACATTTTTTATGATTATCCACTATTTTTGGCATCAACATTACGATATCGTCTTCATTTTGTCTAATTAAAAAGGTCCTGTACCCGATGCATGCATTAGAGCAAAAACCTTGTCCCAGTAAGTTCGCTGTGTGCTGTCTGCATCTAATTATAAAGTGTTATAAAGTCCTATAATCAGGAAGAGTGTGTTAGCATGCTAGTTGTTACGGACCATGTAGAGTAGAGGTGTCAAACTCACATTCATAGAGGGCCAAAATTAAAAACTGGGACTAAGTCGTGGGCCAAACTAAATATTTATTGAAATATTTCAACAACATCTGCATGTTTTCTCTTCTTTTGAGATATGTAATGATAAACCTTTTCTTATTAAAATAAATGTTTAATAATAGTTTTGCTTAAACACTGAATCCAGAACAAGCAGAATATAAAATAATAAAACAATTTTAAATAAATAATGTCTCTAATAATAAATAATAGTCTATCTGTAGCCGGTGGGCCAGCTCTAATACATATTTGATATGATCTTGCAGGCCAAATACAATTATATCGTGGACCAAATTTAGTTTGACATGTCTGATGTAGAGTTTTGTCATCAGACTAAATCTGAGAGTTGGCAAAAGGAGAAATTAAATTTGTCAACTGGACAAAAGTTTATTTTGGTTGAATACATTTCGCAACTCATCCAAGATGTTTCTTCAGTTCTGGTGGACACTTCCTTATCTGTCTGAAGGGAGGAGCTAACTACACTGAAACTATCCTGAAACTAACACACCTACTTGTTTAGTTTCATATTAGCATAACCATTCAGGGCTATAATGGAGCTTTTACACCTCTGTCCCTGGCTGACCCTATTGTTCTCTTGGTTTGTTTTGATTTAGGGTTGAGGATAGAGTTATAAATGGGAGAAAGGTAGTTAATGTCAGAGTAGTTTCAGGGTAGTTAGCTCCTCCCTGCAGGCAGATACAAGTCAGTGTCCACCAGCGTCTGACCAGAACCGAAGAAGCATCTTGGTTGAGCTGCGAAACATATTCAACCAAAATAAACTTTTGTACAGTTGACAAATCAAATTCCCCCTTTAGGCATGGATTCTACCTTGATGATGGAGGGATTTTACATAAAACAGAGTTGTGAAAAGTGCTTTTAAACTCATCCTTGGTGAATAATTAGGACGCTCTGAATGCATAAGGTGAGTGAGGAGTAACGTTGAACCACTGCAAACTGATTGAAAAGGTGCTGTAAGTTTGGTTTTCACATTTTAAAGTGCACATTTATATTGAATTACATGAATACTGCTTGATTATGATTCAGGATACTCCAAAATGTAATGAGATATTCTATTATTTTGTCCATAACATTGTCCACCAGTTTGTCAAACCCTTCAACATCAATAAATGCACTTTTCCATATGGCAATTCCTGAAGTGTAACTCTGTATTGATGCATCTTCTCTCTAATAAGTCACATATGAATTTTCCACAGTTTTGTTAGAGCTTTGTCCACTTTATATTGAAGTTACTGCATTTTTAGCCATCCTTCACATTTGAATTTATTGTATAAAGTATGTTATTTTGTATTTTTACCCAAGACAGGTGAAAATAAATACAACTAAATTAAACCTGCATTTTGTTGTATTTCCAGCCAAAAACAATCCAAGACATATCCTTTTTTATACATAGACTGTGCGCATATACTTTCAGATGTACAAACTTGTGCCAGTGGATAAAGAAAGCGTTGGACTTTGCTTTGCATTTCTTCACATTAAAGCTGCAGAGTAAGGCAGGATTAGGCGGCTGCTGACACAAACATACAGAAATAAATGTACAAGGAGAGGGAGGGTTTAAGATCTGGGGGAAAATGTGGTTCAGCATACACAAGTAAGACTGGGTTTAAATGTAAAAACCTCCAAGCATATATCAAACCCAAAGACGCCAAGAGAAATATGTGTATGTAGTATTATACTACATATGATATGATGTGTAAAGCTAAAGGTGCACTGTGTAACTTTTTGTTTGCGGGTCCGTCACCTGCACGCTTTTCGATGGATATGTCATTTAGGGGTGTAAGGAAAAGAATAGATTCAGTGATACGTCGTGATACTTCATTGCACAATTCTCAGATCGATTAAAAATGCATCCAAATCTTTTTTTAAGTAATATTTTTCACTAAAATTCAAGAGTTACATTCACAGTTCTCGTGATTTAAACATTTTAATCAGTTATATTTTATACAATTTTGTTCTTGTGAAGGTGTAGTTGACTATATCATCCATTGTTTTAGTACTGGGATATATCGTGATATATTAAATTGTGATGTGGATATCAAGATATGTTTCATAATTGTCAGACTCAAGGCAATGCACACCTCTAATGTCATTGCTCTGCCAGAAATGTTCCACAATATGACATTAAACAGCTCTACCTTACATTTACTAAGTTACAGGTGGTTTATATTAGACAGGATGGTGCCACCTAGTGCCTTTACTCAATTTCATTTCTCTCCAGTGACTAGGTCAGGAATTGGAATACATCCCAGAAGTTGTAGACCGCGCACCGGCCAATCAGTGAAGAGCTGTGAAGCCATGACGTCAAACTCAAGCATCTGTCTGGGTCCCTTTTGTGTTACAGCACAACAGTAAACAAAGCGGTTGAGATGGATGTAGATGAAGACAGACATTCTGTGTTGGCAACGATTCCCGAGATCGAGGATTTAAAGCCGGAACAAAGAGAATGTTTAGTGAATTTTATCAAAAGGGAAAGACGTTATTGCCCTTCTTCCTATGGGATTTGGGAAAAGCTTAATATACCAGTTAGCCCTGTTCGTGATGTATGTAATGCACCACTACCAAATACCAATGACTGGTTAAATAAAAAAGTACCCGCATACTGTATCAAATACATACGAATCCTAATGCTGTGAGGTCA